TCAGCCTGGTCTGGTTCTTGTAAAGGGAAAATAGAGCAGGAGTTAGGAACTTACTGGAACGATACAAAGAACCAATAATTTTTCCAGCATCTTTAGTAAAATGGCTTGTATTTGCGAATTCCACTTGAAATCTGCATAAATAATAACAAATATCAGAGTATGCTCTTGGGCAGATCGCTATTATAAAGCAGATAGAGAGTTGGACTGAAAAGTGAGTCTTGGGACATGCCTGCATTGATCTCATGGGCCTCAGAGAACTAGTCATTAATAACTACTTTCTTGAATCTACCTATTAGGAAGAACTTGATAATTGAAAAAACTTCTAGTGATTCCATAGCTGGAGAACTTGTGTAGCAACCCCTTGTCAGAAGTCTTTGATACATCTAATGTGATTATCCTCAAGATGCATTTGCCTAATGGTTCATTGATGTCAATTAGGTTATCAGCAGTGAAATCCATAGTTTGTCACTCAAGAGGTTGTACCTTTTGAGATGATCAACAACCTTTCAAGATAATGGGCAAATATTGAGACGAGAACGAGTGCTTACCCACATTCTTGAGGGGACATACACTTGACGTCTTTCATAAAGTTGAGGATTTCTCCTTCAAGCAGTAGTTAAACAATTTTGCTAAAATTGGAGATAACTCACAGTTAATATTATTAAGAACTAACACTAGGATTTTATCTGGACCAGTAATCTCTTTAAGATCAAAGCTTTTGATAAATCACGAGATTTATCAGGCTGCAATATAAATATTACTAGGTTTGTGCTCCAAGAGAGTGTGGGGGGAGCTGGGAAGGGGATAGCCCTTGTTATCTAATGTGGAGTTAGAGGAAGGCAAAAATCACTGCTAAGAGCTTTGCCTTATCTGACGAGGATGAGATAACCACAGGCCCATTTATGATAGTAGGACTGATGCTTTGCCTCTATTGAGAATTTGGTTAGAAATTTTCAAGAAATGCTACTCTGATTTTCAAGACAGAATATAAAGAGGTCTAGGAAGTTTGTTGTGATATCCTGTTGTATTGAAAACACAAGTGGGCTTATCAACAATTTGTATCATTTCATAAGTGATGGAGAAGTCCCAGCAGTATCTGCTTTCTTCATTGGTTTTGTTCAAGTGGACTAACTAAACAATATGAATGCTTTGATGAAAAAAAGTTAATAGTACGTAAATCAGTCTAGTGTAACACAAATTTAAAGAAAAAAATAAAACCTCTTTGCTATAATGAGACTATATATATATATATATATATATATATATATAAAAAAAAAAAAATGATTCTACTCTATAGCAGGTTAGGGCGGGAAAGTCTCTTTCTAAAAATTCTGTTCTATGTTCATTTATCCTATAGGTTTAAACAAGGGCGATAACTTTTGTGAAAAAGTATTTTTTATAACTGATCTTTGCCTTGAGAAATCAATTACCTGAACAGAATTAAAAAATATATATTATTGCCGATAAGTGAATGAATACAAAATTCTGAATTTCTTCTAAATTTAAGCAGTATTCAATTATTTTTATATACAATGCGTGGCAGAAATACTTTCTGTATAATGTTAAGATATTAGTGGTAATGGGGTTTTCATTTAGCTAATGTCTTACCATTAAAGGGGAGGTATTTATGCCACAACCTTTATTAAAAAAAAATCTCTAGAAAGTTAAAAAAAACATTTTTATTGTTTGATTGGTTTTCTTGTTTTTTAATGACATGGGATGATACACTGTTTAACCGTTAAAATAAACAAAATTAGGAATGAAGTAACTCCTGAAAAGATTTTACACACAGCCACGTTTTAGAGTTCATGAATTTCTGATTTTGTACACTTTTGTGGCCAGATATCATAAATCTCCCCCTCCCTACCAAATAAATATAAAATAAAAAAAAAGTACTAATACTTTCTTAGTGTTTGATTATACCACATCTACTTGATTTCTACAAAATCTTTATGATGCATAGATGAAGATAAATTTATCCAACAGTTTTATGTGATGGCGTTATGTAAGTTTATATCAATTCTAATTTCATTCCTTTGAAAAATACAAATTATGCAACAATTCTACCAAATTATCAAGGAAAATTTAAACAACTTATATAAAATTGTCAAATTTATTTGTTTACATTTGAATAAGTGGTTACAAAATAATTCTATTTCAATGTTTCTGATTTAAAGCAAATAAGATTCATAATACAAATATAAATTTGATGTCCTAACATCAAAGGACACAATGCACCATTTCCTTTTGACATCATTTTCAATAATTTCATGTACAGTTGTTTGCCTTGATTCTCAACAAATACAAAGAAAGACACATATCCTATTATAATTAGTAAATAAGTGAAGAAAAAAAAAGGATCAACCATTTTTTTTATAAAAAAGAATACAATCAACAAGATATTACCATTAGTAAACTACTCTAAAATGTAAAGCATATTGATGGTCTCAAAGTTAAAAAAAATCTGATTGAAAGGGGTAAAAGTTATAAAAAGAAATCATGGTATTCTAACCATAATGTATGTATCACTTTTGAAAACAAAAGTAATTCTTTGCTCCAAGTTCATTAGTATTTCAAGTGGGCATTATTACAAAAATAAGTTTAACACTTGCTAGTGATTACTATTGTGGTAGATTTAGTGTTGTTATTAATAAAGGTGACAGTGGCAATTGAAATCAGTGGAGCTTTTGGAATTATCCCAATGACTTTAACTAGAATACAAAGATCCTAAACAGAAATAGAACAGGTTACAACAGTTTAATAGTTGACAAAAATTAGAAAAGGTGAATTCTAAAGATGTGAGATAATTGGTTATTACTCAACTGCCCAAAATGAACAAGATATCACATTAATAAATAATGTAAATTTCCCAAAGTTAAGTACATAAACTACAAAGTTTTTAATGAAATTCAAAGTGAATAGATAAAGGCCTTGATTTAGTATAGAATTAATAGAATACCAATGTGGGGGACAGATTCAAATGCAATTGAACTTGTGTTCTCTTTTCAATTTATCCAAGTAATTGAATTGAACATTAATTGGTAAGAAAATGAAATTAGTTTTAAATGGTTATCTTGAGATTAATCTACCTACCTCTTTGGTTTACAGAATTTAATAGGTTGTTAATTAACAACAAACATCAAAGTTTGAGAAATGTCCACATCTGCTCCTAAAGCTAAATCTCTATGGTCAAGTATATATATATTTGGAAAGTGGATCAAAAACATTTTAATATCCACTACTTATTAAGTAAGACATATTGAATGAAATATTGTACTTTCACAAAAAAAAAAAAAGAAAAAGAAATAATCTTTTTTTTTTTTCTAACCATATTCCATCTCATATTTTCCTGGCAAAATGTTATATTTTCTCTTTAATCTCTCACTTTAACAACCAAATTAAGTGTCAGAAAATATATTAGCTTGACCCATTTCTCAGAATCTAAACATTTGATCAGCTATATATATATATATATATATAAAAATTGGAGGTGGAATGGTATCATTTCTTAGTAAGATCAAGGACTTTTCAGCACTTCTTTGTAGAAGAATAACACTTTACCTTTGTTTGAGAGCATGATCACACTGGAGAAGGAGAAATTTTAGATGTCTGAGAATATTTTCCAAACTCAGTAAATGTGCTACAAAGAATGACATCATGTGATAAGAGGAATAATATTTATTCTATTGTTCTAACTTGAAACTAAGTCCATTTTAGCAGATAATCTTTGATAATCTCAAGAGATCTGTAAAGTAAAATATTTCATAGGACAATAATAAGAAAAAAAAATGAATACAATCATGAAACTTAAAAGGTACTGCAAATTTTTCACACATTGTTGTCAAAACTCTTACTCTCAAAATAAAAGACTTCTCAAGAGATATTTGCTTTAGGACTAAACTGTCAGACTAGACAAATGTATAAATTAATTTTCCATAATTGGAATGCAAAAATAACTTGAAGACTAAATGCCCACTTTTTTTTTTTTAAACATTAGCTATTTGGAAAAAACATTTTTGAGAGAGTGAGAGAAAATTTCAATTTTCAACACTAATATACTTATCAAGAGCTACAGTGCTACACATTAATATTTTTTTAAGAAAATAAACAAAAACAATACTATTTTCGTTTACTATAAATTAAACCCCCACCCCACCCCACCAAAAAAAAAATATATTCAAATTAGCATCCATGTGGGTTGCCATATTTTATACATTGGTTATTTTGGGATACACTTCTATTTCTGCATGATTTTTGTGATCAAAGACATAGGTCTGTATTAGCCCTAAACAGTTCTTAAAGATTTATAATCTTTCAGAAATAACAAAACGTTTGTATACAAGTGGAAAACAATAGTAAATGAAAAAAAATGATAATCTTTTGTGTTGGAATTCTCACAATTTAAATCAAATTAGATATCAATACAGAAACAAGTAAGTTTTAGTTGACATTAAAAAAAGAAATGAAGAACTGCATTCATGATTTTTCTCAGAAAAAGAAAAATTAATTATTTATAACAATGTGTTACTAATATTACACATAAGTGAATCAACTAGTGGACAAAGCACAAAAATGTATTGAAAATTCAGTAGTTGAGTAAAGGATTAGATGCAAAACAGAATTAGTAATCTAATTGGTAAAACAATGAACCAATTAAATCACGAGAACAGAGTTAGTTGCTGAAAATTAGAAGTTCATAAGAAAGAAGAATCAGAACAAAGAATTTTTAGGCTTTGATAAAAATTTATGATATGCTTATTATTTACAGCATAAATAATCACAGAGTTAGCTCCCTTCTTTTGGTTACTTTCATTTTGTTGCTATTATTATTAGATGAATGTCATCCCAGATGAATTGGGTTGAGCTGAATGCAGCAGAAATTAGAACTGCTACACAGAATTAATATTGCAACATTACACTTTAATGATTTGTACTGTCTGTTTGGGCCTAGTGTTGACCAAGAGAGGAGGAGGAGGAGGAGGAATGAAGTAGATTGTCATTTAGTTATTGTTGAAAAAGGTATGAGAAATATGGAAACTGGGAAGAAAGAAGAAGGAAAAATAAAAGGGAAGAGAGTAGATAGAAAAAAAAAATGAAAAAGAAAAGCCGTAATACAAGAAAAAAAGATGGAAGAAGAGGATCAATTTTAAAGTTTGTATTATTAAGTAGGAGAGAAGGAAGAGGGTGCAAATAAAGGAAGAAAATAAATAGGAAGTGAGAGGAAAAACAAAAAGGTAGAGAGAAAAAAAAAAAGAAGAGATGTGAAGACAATAGTGAAAACAGTTAAAGGTTTGATTGAAGAAAGGTAAATGAGGAGGTAGGAGAAAAAGGGAAAGACAAGGAATAGGAGGAAGAGATGAAAAGAGCAGATTTATTGCTCGCTTTTTTGTGTAGCTAAGTCAAAAGAATTTTCATACCAAATAATGGTACATCTTTTATATTTTTCTCTCCTTCAGTCAATTCAACCCTGGGAGAATTTATTTTTACTGTCTATAAGTTTTCAAAAAGAAAAAATACTTTTTGAAATAACCATGATGATGTGATTTCCTCCTTTCTTCTAGAAGACATTAATGATCATTAATTTAACAAGAAAAAGGAATGGGGCAAGAGTAAAGAGTCTGATTGTTCTAGTGGACTTCCGATTTGACCAACCAACTGACCAGAAAGAAGTCTTTGTTGTGGCTCATCTTCATCCTTCTTAAATAGTTTCCACAAGTCAGCATCGGCAAACGGATCCCAGATTGAGGAGGAGGGGAGGGAACTTTAGATCTGCAGCCGAGCACCATTTTCTCATACTAATGAATAAAACTGGATTATAAGCCTCTCTCTTTCTCTCTTCCACGGAACATTAAAAATATTCCACTTTGACTTTCACAGCTGAAAGCACAACTTATCAAGAGACCAAATCCTTTAAGCTCTTTTCATTTTTATGAAATTTTTCACTTTTATTAATCCTACTGATCTTGGGAGATTTCTTCAATTTCAGTAAAGACTCCTCCTTTTTACAATTCTTCTCTTTCTCATTCTTCTCTTCCTCTGTACTGCCACAGTCTCCACCACATTGATTGGACAAAACCTGATCAGTCCTATCGTTCTCTATCTGAGAGCCTCTACTACTTTTGGATGGACTCTCTTCTAACTGTTCATTTTCTAAGTCATTCCTTTCACTGTTAGATACATTGTCTTTCATGCCATTTACTTCATCCTTTTTATGTCTGTTTTTTAAGATCTTGTTGTACACCCAGTCCTCACCATCTTGGTGAAAAAACTGCAAAAATGAATGTAGAAAAAATAAAATGCAAGCATCACAATTAATATTCTTAGGGGTTCAAATAGTATTTAGACATTTAAGGTAAGGGAGCATTTAACTTGAACCAAAGTTAAAATCACTTCACAATTTAAATAATGCTGGAAAAATTGTAAGAAGACAAGAAAAAATATATCCCTTGAGGTATTTTTTTTCAGCTTAGTAAAATGGATATTAAAAATTTGTAACAATTTTTTTTAAAATTGCATACAATTATGCTAGTTTTGATGCATAAAGAAATGAGAAAATAATTTCTATGGCAAATTAAGTAGCAAAAATGCTCCAGTTAGTAGTTTAACTGCAGCTTTTCTGAAATGGAAAGAATCAACAAGATTCTATCATCATTTATTCAGATTATCTCATTTGATAGCATTTAAAATGTTATGTATCAGTTATTGGAGGGCACAACAAATTCATTTCATATTCATAATCTTAAAGAAAAACAATGGCCATCTTTATTTGATCATTTAAGTGAGATCTTGAAAGGATGTAAAGAAACCATTTACTTCAAAGACATTATGAATAATTGTTTACAGCAAGTTTGCAATGAACAATTGAAAGTCATTAGGTTTTTGTCTCGATTTAACACATGTATTGATAGAAAGGGGAGGAAAAAAACATTTTTTACTTTTGTAGGAAATGCTGTATTGGTTTCCTTTCTCAGTCGTTCACCTTCTCTTTGGCGATCTTCCAACTAGAAAACAAACAATTATACTAACAGTTGAAGTTGCACAAAAACTAACTCTAGAAGCAAAAATCTGTCTTATTGCAGCATTTATTATAGAATGGCATAATTCGCTATTAAAGAAAATAAACAAACAATGGCTTCAACTTACAAATTGTCAAATAGCTTTTAGAAAATTGAAAAAACACTTTATTTGATGAAAATAAAGAAGTGATAATAAATTAATGCACAAAGTTTTGGCATAGGATACCAACATTGGTTTTATAGCATTTAATAAACATTCTTTCTACTGTTAGATAATGCAAGAATTTATTACTTTTTAAAGTATTTCCAAATGAGACATTAAAATATTTTAAAATGACAATGGTAATAAATTTAAAAAGTTTTCTTTTTCAGGTAAATAATTTATCCAATATGAAAAGGTTCCTTTGATAAATCGAACAAAATCTGAGTGCCAGTAATTCTTATAAGCAGTTTGATTTTTTTTTTTCAAGAGTTTAGCCAAAAAGGATTGAGAGAAAAAGGAACAATGAAATCAACAAATATAATAATATAAATCTAAATAACTTTTGGATAAAAGTTTACTAAAAATAAACAAAGCAGTTTTGAGAAGAATCTTTGAAGAATTCTGGTTAAACAATCATTTTCCATCATTAGAGTTACTTACAAATTTCTTATGTTCTGTGGCAATATTCACATCTCCTAACCTAAGAGCATTAGTGACATGACGCCACAGTTTCCTAGATTCAAATTCTCCTTGTGAAGAAATTGGGCGGACAGATTTACGCATTATTTCAAGGTTGCTCACATCAATAACTTTTGTTTCACCCTGGAAAAGCATAGAAAATTATAAAGATTTTTAATAAAATCCGAGAGTAAAAAATATCTACAAATTATTTTTATAATAGTAAGAAAAAAAAGAAAAGAAAAAAAGAAAAAAGATTTTTATGTTGACAAAAATTGTCAAAATAGGAAAAGTTCATTAGTCTCATGTATAAAAACAAAGGCAATAAAGAAAAGCATAAAATTATGAAAAGATGGTCATTCTATTATTCATATTACCAACAAAAATATTTTATATCCTACTTAGAATTCTAAACATCAAACTTAAAATTCTCTTTTTGTCAGTTAAAAAACACTTAAGAGGAAAAATCAGCTTGTCATTTTCAGCTTACCATTTAAAATCTGAAAACTTAAGTTACAATATAAAATTGATTGGTGAGTTTTACAGCAATCAACCTTGATTGGTTATTTAATGCCAACAAAATTTTTTATTGCTGGTAATATTTTTCTTTAAAAAACTATTTCTAGCAATATCCTTCCTTTTAAAATTTATTGCCGGCAATGCTTTTCCAAAAAAAATGTACTGCCGGCAATGCTTTTCAAAAAAAAAAAAAAAAGTACTGCCGGCAATGCTTTTCCAAAAACACATTGCTGGTAATATTCCTTTATGAAACTATACTGCTGATAGTACGATATTTCCTTCAAAATTGAAGGAGAAATTATATTATTATCTCCAATAACAATTTTTTCTTCAAAACTATATTGCTGATAATTCTTTCTTCAAAAACATACTGCTGTTAATAACTTTCCTTCAAAAATACATTGCTGGTAATAATTTCTCCTCAACAATGAATAGCTGTTAATAATTTTTCCTTCATAAAAGTATTGCTGGTAACCAAAAATGTATTGTTGGAAATAAATTTTTTTTTTTTTCAAACTAGTTCAGGAAAACAAGAAAGCAGATTTAGTAAACTATTTTTTTTTTTCTGTACAGCCCAATTTCTTTAATGAAATATATAATATTACATGGGGGAAGTGTCAATACTTTCTATGCTCTCCAGCCTATTAGCATTTTGTTTCTTAAGTTTTGATCTTTGAACTTTCGTTTCTGCTTGTTTGTTTAACTTTGTTCCCTTAGTTTTTTCATTGGGTTCTTTTAATGATCTTTGTATAGATGAGGACCGTTCCCTTGTTTCTGATGGGCTAAAGTTTTGTTCCTCTATGTCCATTTCTCTTGATTCTTTGCTAAAAGTTGTGTTATATTTTTTTATGTACCTTTTGATTCTGTTGAGAATGTTTAGAGGTTTCTATTTCTTGGATTTTTGTACTTTGGTTTGGAATTTTCGGATTTAATTATACATGTAGAGACTTTTTTTGTTTGAGGTTGACAGGACAGGATTTTTTTGTCTATGGACGTTTGATTTATGTGCGATATACTACATTTTAGTAGTTCTATTAAACTTTTTAATTCATTAATAAGAATTATAAGATCTTAGCTTCTTAATGCATTGTTTTCTTGGATATCTTTTTGTTGATTTGATACTTCAGTGATATTTGCATATGATGAAGTGAATTAGATTCAACTTCTTTCCTGGCTTCTTCAAATGAGATATTTTGTGTGTATTTTCTTTTAATTATTTCCTTTTCCAAATGCTACACTCTTTGATGTCTTCTGGATGTTTTTCTTTACAGTTTGGACATAAAGGAGGCCTTTCACAAGGTGACTCATCATGCTCAGTCTCCAGTTCCCCACATCTTCGACAGACTGATGTTCTCATACAAACATTTTGAAGATGACCAAATTTTTGACATTTATGACATCTATGGGGATTAGGAATGTATAGCTCTACCTTGGCTACTGTGTAACCTATCTTTATTTCTTTTGGTAGAGTCGGTTTGTCGAATATCAAAATGTATGTGTTGATTACTGTGTCATTTCTTTTTACTTGCATTCTTTTAACATCTGTTACTCCTCGCTTTTTTTTAGGGTGTCGTCATTTTCAATTTCTTCTGATGGACAAAGTGACAGTTTTGGGCATTTTATTACTCCTTTTGATCAATTAAGAAATTGATGGGGGTAGGCCTTGACTTTATTGTTGTCAATTTGCTTGATTATTAGTAATTTCTCTGTCTTTTTTGGATATCACTTGAATTAATAGAGTATTATTTTTTTTTATTTTTCTTTAACAGATTGTAGTTTGAAATAACCCTTTGCAACACGAAAGGAGACACTTTTGATATATCACCCTTTACTGATTCTACAATAAAGTTGGAAATTGATTTTTTTCTATTTCATCTTTGCTTTCAGAAGCCTCATATTGTATCTTGGTTCGCTTATAAGAGAAGCCATATAATTTTAATTTTTGTATTCGCTGTCTGTGCTCCCCACCCACCTTTTTCTTAAGGGACGCTATCAGGGGGGACTAATCCCATTTGCCCTAATCCACCAGGGCTACACAGACAGTATAGTTGTGATGAGAGTGGATACGATCACCCACATTCCCCCACCATATCTACCCAAATATAGTATGATGTAAGGTTTTGTGGTCCTGTTGGATCTATTATCTATCATCTCAACTAGCCCTTGCCACTATATGACTAGCTGATTGGAATGGATTGGGCTATTCCATCCACCTATCTATCCCAGGTAGGGACCGAAGTGACGTGTTGTGGAAACTCCTGGTCATTTTATACCAGATCAGAAGTCACTCCGTCACCAGGACTCCATCCCCAGGCATCACGGGTTGCCACCTACAGCAAATGGGTGACCCCATTTAGGGGAAATTTTAGTTTTTTGAAATCAGGTTTTGTAAATGTGCACTTTATATACTGCAATTTGTGTTGATGGTATTATTATTACAAAAAAAAAAAAACCCTTCTTACACTTTCCAAGTATTCCAACTCCAGATCAAGGGAGGCAGGAAACTATTTACCCATAGCTGGGACCGTAACAGGTGCTACCACCCCAGGTCAGGGTGGACCCGGGAACAAAAGTAACTAAGAGGCAGTTCCACACTCCTCAAAACCTCCTGATCAGAGGCCTTACTGCTGGATGCAGTTTATCATCATACCCAGGACAGACAATATAAAAATGTTGGAAAAATTTTGGCATGATAATACACATTAGACATGAATAATTCTAATAAATTTTAATAAATATTTGCACATCTTTGCAGACATGCTTACATAGAGTGATTCTGAGAGACAAATATAGAAAATTTGAGACTAATCAAAGTTCAGAATGTTAATGAAAAGAAATATAAATAAAAGTGTGTATATTACTTACATTTTCATATGTGAACTCAAAGAAACTATTCCATTCTCCTTGTACTTTGCATATAATATTGGCTGTGTTGTTATTTTTCACCTCAGCTGTTACCCGATGCAACTTACCACCATAGAAAGGCTGGAGAAAATAATTGCAAATAATAAAAATAGGCTAACAAACATACCTTTTTTTTTTCTTTTAATATTGAATGTTGTTATGATAGAGAAAAAATGAATCCATATTCAAAGGAAAAATATCTTATTTTATCAAGTTATTTTATTTGAGTAACTTTGAATAGAGGAATAATTATCAAGTCAATGGTAATATAGTTTCAAAAATCATTTGTTTTGCATTGACAAAGCTGACACAAAACTTCACCTTTATGGCAAAATGGTAGTATCCATATCCATTTGGCCAGTACAGAATTTGCATTTTAGGAGAAAAACATTAGTTTTTATAATATTAAATTATCTAACAGATTTTTAAAGCTTAAAAAAGTTTTTTATAGTAGCATCCAAGCTTGTAGATCTTGATAAAAAAAAAATGAAATGTACACAACATAGTTTTATCCTAGCATATTCAGAGATTTTATACATACAATGCAAATAAATAATAAGAGAAAATATTTCTTGATATAATGATTGATACAAAGTAAACCTGATTATGACTGAAGATTTTTGAGGCACAATGAACATAAATACCTTTGTGTGGAATGTTATAGCAGCAGAATAGCCAGACTTTTGGCAGGTAATATAGATCTTGTCACCCAGCTCCACCCAGGGGACTGTAAGGATGGATCTAGCATAGGCACTCGGTAAACCAAATACATATTCTTCATCATGCTTCAGCAAATTTAAACTAACTGAAATACAAGTGAAACATTGTTTACAAAATATTTTATATACAAACTTGCCCTGAAATTAAACTAATATTTAAGCTTGTAAAATTCTCAAATTCATTTCCTGATAATGCTAAAGAGAAGATTATTCTGTGTGCCATGTCTCTTCAGGATATGAGCGATCATAGCTCTCTACAATTTCCTGCCTTTTGTAACTCTTAGTAAAGTTTATTTTTATTTTTTGCTATCTCTCCTAATTCCTGTTCTACTAACCATTCATACAAGCTCATTAGATATATTATTCGTTGCTTTCCGTTATCACTCCTGACTTCAATATGTTTTGTAGTGTCAAATTTTCTAAGCCCTCTTTCCTCACATTATGCACCCTAGAAATTTCAATTGATGCTAAGTGCTCCATTTATTTCCATTTTTTCTGAAATTTCGTCGTTGCTCATATGTTCAGTCCATGGTATTCTCAGGATCTTTCTGTAGAACCACATTTCTGTTGTCCCAAGTCTCTTCTTCATCTGTGACGAGATTGTCCAGCCTTCACTGCCATATAGGAGGATCAATATTGCATAACAGTTCAGTACTTTATTTCTAACAAAATTTTCTGTTATTACTTTGCTTAGCTTTTGGAAGGCACTTTTGTTATCCCAATGTGCCTTCAGATTTTTGTGTCAAATTTTCTGTCCTTTGTTAAATTACTTCCTAGATACTTAAAATTTTGTACTTGCTTGATTTTGTTCACTCCAATTTGTATTTCTTATGTTAGGCTGTTCCTTTTGCTGATAACCACACATTCTGTCTTCTTACAATTGATGTTTAATCCTTTCTCCTCACTTTCCTTTACTACTTTCTGTATGAGTTCCTGTAGTTTCCTTTCTGTCTGCTATCAATACTGTGTCATCTGCATATCTAATGTTGTTAAGATTGCGGCCATCAATAATAAATCCTTGTAGGACTTCTAATTCTCTTAGGATTGCTTCACTGTAAAGGAAGGCTGAATAAGTTTAGTGAGAAGACATCCTTGGCTTATGCCATTTTCTATTTACTATATCTTGTATTTACTGAATTCATTTTCTATCCATATAAAGGCTGTTTGCTCCCAGTAGAAGTTCTGGATTATTATAATATTCTTCCAAAATATGCCATGGTTATGTAGCAACTTTGTGATGTACTTTATCAAATAAAAGAAAAGATTAGTTATTTAATCTACTTTGAAAAATTCTGCAATACAGATAATAAATGAAATAATTTTTTAAGTGAATGTTTGCCTTCAACCAGCTAAGAATTAATTTTACACATCCAAACATTTCACATATGATCAAAATAAAATAAAAAAAAGTGGACATATTTATTAATCTAATATTTCACACATTAGAAAGAAAATAGGTGTGTATGTGAAAGAAGACTATATATATTGTTTAGACGTCTCATCTTAAAGTATGAAAGGACACCTAAGTCATTAGCAGAAATGATGGCCTTACAATTTATTAATTTAAAAGGGTTGGTATATAGCAAATTCGTTTTAGAAAGTCTTATCACATTATAAAATAAATGATATCTATATTTTAAAAGCCATTTTCATAGTGAATAAACTGTTTAAATTGCTATAAATATTCTTGGCTTCAAGAAATAAAAGCTAAAGTTTCAGAAAGCCAAAGATTTAAACCAGAAATTAACCATTAAAAGTTAATCATTACACTCTAGTAAAATCCATAAGTAAAAGGCAACTTCAGAGTCCTCTGAGGATCTTGACAAATGTTTTTTTTACACATCTGACTTGGGCTGTGTTTTGATTTACACTAAAGAATATTGAGTTTGGGTGAAACCAAAGTCAGTGAAAAATGTATTATGACCAAAACAAAGACAACTGTTCTTTCTTGTGTAGGTTAGAGAAAGCAAAATGTCTTTGGGGAAAAGTACATGAGGTAAATAAAAAAAAAATAAAAAGTCTATTTGTCAAATTATTATCTAATCTTGGGATTTCCAGAAAAAGAAGATAAACACTCAGAATTGTTATTAATTGCCATCAATAAATTATTCCAAGATGGTTGTCCAGATTAAATTACTTTTCAGGTTTCCAAAGTAGATGTTTTACCATGATGCAGTAACTTTCAACTTTGGCACAATTTGACTCACTTCACTAACTGTTCAGGTTATCAACTCAGTTTGCCTTTGAGAAAAGATTCTCCAAGGTTTTCTGCTCATGTAAAAACCAACTTGATCAATGAAACCTTAACATATCCCATCTTAAGTAAGTATATATTAATTTACTCTTCAACAAAATACTCTATTTATTCTTTAATCAAAGAGCATTTAAAGTTTATTTTGATTTAACCCAATTTTTCTAGCTGTTACTACCTATTTTATCAACATTATCAAAAATGCCAAAGATAAGACAAAGCCGCAGCAATATGAAATAATAATGGTAGGTTAGGTTGATACTTGTAAAATCTTCCATCACAAAGTCCTAATTATGCAATTGTACTTTGTTCCTCTTTGCCTTTATTCTATATTAATATTGAGAGATAGCATTTGGTTGACATTGCATTCAAGAATAGTGAAAAATGTGATAGAATATAAATTTTATTGCTTAAACACCCACACACAATTCCAGAAAATGAATGATGAGCAAAAGAATCAACATTCAAGAAAAAAAATTTTACAAAGAATTAAGGAAGGAAGGAAGGGAATGGAAGAAGGAGCCAGGAATTGTACAGAATAGATTTAAGCATTATCTGCAATGAATCTTTAAAATATTCTTCATAAATTATTCTTGAAAGGTAAATCCCAAAAGTCAAGACAAATTTGATACCAGACAAGAGAAATTACTACCAGTATTCACATAATATTCAGGTTTTTCTAAATCTCTTAAACAAAAAAGTTTATTAAAAAAAAAAAAAAAAAAAAAAAAAATGTGACACCAAAGTAATAAATGTATGTAATATTTTTTATGCTAAAATTTTTAAATATGGCATATTTATTTTTGCTATCAATTTGATTAGACAAATCTAGCATAAAAAAAAAATCAACTCACTTTTACCAACCATCACAACACCAATTGACATGCCCATAAATTTGGATTTGGTCCATATTGATGCATTCATATAAATGTCTTTTTCAGGGCATTCAAAATAAAAGGCTGAAACTAGAAAAAAAGAGCTTTAATAAGGCTCACAGTAAATAAATTAAACAGATGATCAACCAAAGCAACAAGGTCAAAGTTTGTAAAATAAATGTTACCATTGAACAATTACAAACATTAATGTAAATAAAAACCTTAGTATTGTAAATAATATACAATCACAAGGTTTTAAAATATAAGAGATTAACAGTTTATATGGTTATGAATGAAATTGGCTTGGATTAAAATGCGGTCAACATTTTTCTGCATTTCAAAATAAGGAAAAAATCATGTAAATATCAGAAAGGAAATATTGTACTTTCAAATCTTATTTACTCATTGTCCCTCTTTAATAAAGTGCCAGAGTGCAATGAATGTTTTAAGTAATCTTTCCTCAATCAAATGTATCTTTGATAGATTATAAAATATACCATTCAATTTGAATGCTAAAAATATCTGAACATAAACTACACATAGAGAATGCAAACTATTTTTTAAGCTACTGCTTCCATATTAGATGTATCACATGTGAGTTCTCTACTAGATTGCAATATTATCTGTTGCATTGCCTGCTTGCTGCAATGTGCTTGAAACCAGAAAAGCTTTTAAAAGCTTCATTACACTATCATATAGATATTGCTCAGACTGAAGAGTATCTGGGGTTGAGATCATATTCTGTTTTCTTACCTCAAATGCCTTACAACCATTATTTACCATTTTCCTCCACACAAACTGAACCCCACCCCCTCAGTCTTCAGCATCAATATCAAGAATTTAAAGATTGATTTTAACAATATCCTTTAAATATTTTATTGGTTTGTGTTTTGGATATTTACCATGTAGTAACTTTGTAAAATAACTGCTTTGGTAATCTGTCATCTTTCATTCTAGTAAGGTGTCCTGCCCATATAATTTGGTTATAGATGAGGAACTTTTTGAAACTAAATATATTATCCTGCTGAAGAACAATGCTGTTAGGTGTAAAGGACTGCCAGAATGTTCAAGATCCTCTGAAAACACTTTCAATAGAATCTCTTCAAAACTTTAATGTGATGGCAATATGTCGTTCAAGTATCAAATGAGTACAAAGTTTTGGATCACACACAAACATTTCATACATGCTGCGCTTGGTACTGATCATTATGTCTATCTGAACAGGTTCATTTCTCTAGTTTTTGCAATCCTTATATGCATTTTGGTACTGTGAGGACCATCCCTGGAGATTGTGCTGTCAAAATGGATGAATGTAGTGACAATAACTAAATTTTTGATTGAACAAAAATATTGGGTTCAATATAGGGGTGACCTGGAAGAGGTATATTTGTAACATTGATGGTAAACCCAAATGTAGAGCAGGCTCTAGCAAACAGATCCATATCTACATGCATGTCTTCCTTAATATGAGCAATAAGGACTACATCATCAGCATAGAGAAGATCCTGAACAAGGGTCTGAAAGATGTTTAATTTTGCATTAAAACATCTCAGATCAAAAACTTTAAAGTGTTGGAAATCGCTATTGGTTCACAGTGAGTTACTGAAATTAAATGAGATTTCACATCATGATGAAGTTATTTAAATATGACAAATTCAGGTGTACATCCAAGTTTACTAAGAATGGTTCAGAGTAGTCTTGTCCACAGTATTGGATGGGAGTTAATAAAAACGTGATAAAGAGCTATACAATGTTTAAGGTATTTATTGTAATCACCAAGTGATATTTACCAGTGAATTATATTCTTAATGGCTTTTTTTTTTTCTTCTTATATGTTTCATCTGGTTATCTGCCAGGATGTAAGCTAATAAAATATGTTTATGATACATTTAGTTCCTGATAATGACCAAGATGGTCAAGAGTACTCAAAAATAAACTTTCGACAGTTTATCTAGTTTTGATTGATTGATTAATTTGTTAGTTTTATGGCACAACACAGGTGGATCACTTAATGCCAAAGAAAGTTTCAGGTAAATAATTAGAGTTGTTTTCTTTTGGGAGCAGAGAATTATATAGGGGGAAAAGTTCTTTGTCAGGTAGGGAGAAATTGTAGATTGTATAAAACTGGTTGCAAAACAATGTCGGTAATCAGGTTTGGTAAAGAGTTTTCTTGTTATTTTTTTATATTTTTCTGTAGAACCGAATTTTTTTTTTTTTAATGAAATCTATGTTGTTACTTGGATCCATATTTTCAAATAGGTCCTTTAGGTTATCCAATTTGTAGTATTTGTTTCAGGTTTGCTGAAATTTATAGGAATTTAGTAGTATGTGTTTAACAGTATATGGTTCCTGGAATGGGACACATGCAAGCAGTTTCTCATGTTTTAGTAGATGTTGGTGGGTTATGTATGTGTCCTATAGTGTCTGGCTAGTACCACCTCCTCTCTCTCTTTTATCTTTCTGTAACTTGGCTGTCTTCCACTAATGATTGGTTGGATGTTGAGTAATGTGTTGTTTTGGCAGTTGTTCCATTATTGCTGCCATTTTTCTTTAATGGTTCTGTTTATAGTGGGTTGGAAGTTAGTGTGTGGAACATTTATATTTTAGAGAGCCACATTCAGTGATTTCTTTACCATTTTACCAGCTTTCCCATTTATGGCAACATGGTTCGGTATCCAGCATAGGCCTATTACAACAACTTTTTTCTTATAAATAGTATCAATCCTATTTAATAATTTATTTATTAAGGGCTTTCCCTGGTTTTTATTCTTCAGAGTTAGTGAATCTGAGATGATGATGAATCTATCTGACCCACTGGATTCTATAATATCTAAAGCCAAGTGTATGGCTTTGGCTTCTGCACTGAAGATTGAGGCTTTGTCAGGCAATCTATTCTGCATTGTTATGTTGTTAAGGATAGCAGAGCATCCAACTCTGTCCAAGATTTTAAAGCCATTGGTATATGTGTGTTTATAGTTTGGGTGTGCTTGTAGAACATTATGGATTTCTTCCATGTAATCAAATAAGTTAGTAGGGTATTTAGTAAAGTTTAGCTGTATCGTAGGGTGTTTCATTAACTAGGGTGGGTTTTTTGAGTGGTGGCTTTATGAATTAGTGTTGGATTTATTTGAGTTTCACTGATGAGATTTTTACAATTAACCATGGCTATTCACTCCACAACACCATTTAAATTGTCTGTAAATTCTCCTGGGGATTGTGAGCAATAAGGGCTATGTCATGTTACTTCTTCCTGTATGCCCTTGTGGTCAATGGTACCACTTAAATCAAGGTGATGAATATGGTGGTCAAGTCATGAATTGAGGGATTAGGGGCAGACATATTTCTGTTGGACACTGCTCCTTTCTACATGGCCCATGTCACCCAGGAGTGACTGGCTGAAGCTTTTCACAATCATGTTACTTTCAAAATGTAGCCTAACTCTTCTGATTTGAATTACCTAGACTATTATATTTGGTGTGTCACAGAGAGGGTGACTAAGCAGTGTCTCCATAATACCAAGGACTTGGAAAAGGCTGCTATTGTGGATATGATGACCAATATGAATGAGAACCACCTGGACATGTAGTTGTTTCCAAGGCAATTTTCCAAGTTGAGAGCAGACTTATTCAAAAAGTATTTTTATTTTTCTAAATTACACATGTGTACAAATGTTTTTGAAAATATGATTTTTCTATTGAATATTTTTCTTTACATTATAATTTCTTTTCAATAATCTGAGATTCACCTTGTATATAACAGCACCAATTTAAGTAAGTGTACATTGGAATTTACTATTAAGTCTATGAATTACTTTACTGCATAAAACCAATATATTCAAACATTTAAGCTTTTAATGTCTCTTTTTTCCAATAACATCTGAATAGTGCAAGATTTAAAGCAAAAGTATCCAGGTAATTTTGTGATATGAATTACTAATATAGGCAAATATGTAAACATAAAAACTTACTTGGTGGATGATGGGAAACTTGTTCAGCACAATAAGTTAGCAAACAGTTGTCATCTGTACAACCATTTGCACCATTTTCTGTTTTGGGGTGTTCTGGTGATGGAGGGTATGTCTCTTGTCTGGGTATACGCCAGGAACAGTGGAAAGCTTCTCCTCTGATAGGATTGTAAGGCTTTTTAGCCACAGATCCCTGCATTAAATGAAGACAATAAACATGTAAATTTTAAGGTTGGTTACAATGTTAATAATTCTCAAAGTATTGAAAATTTTGTGTACACTTATAGAACGTAGCATATTAATGCTGCTTTTGTTTTTTTTTTATATTTTTGCTTCCATACTATTATGAATGAAACTGAACGTTGTACTTGTACAGTGCCAATTCTAAATATAGATATTTATGAGCAACAATTAGAGCAAACTACATACAAGATGCTGTATTCTATATCCACAGTTGGACTTGTATCAGGATTATCTGCTTAAACGTTATCAAAAGCTAGTTAAGCTTGATGTCAATTAACTTCCTATTGAGAGAATTTATATTTTCATTATTTGTAAATAAATAACTGAATAATGGAAACTACTCTGTAATTAGCCTTGCTTGTGCTACTAAACAGATGTTGAATGTCATACTTACAATTATAAAAAAATTTTTTTTTTTGTAATAAAGTGTAGAAATTTTTTTGACAAAAAAAAAAAAATTACTGATTTTGTGTGTGTGTGTGTGTGTGTGTGTGTGTGTGTGTGTGTGTGTGTGTGTGAAGTAAAATATTTCTGCATTTAAAATAGGCTACAAAATAATGGCACTATAAAGACATTATTTCATGCAGCATTTTTTTACATTTATTTTTTCTTTCAAAGATAATGGATTTTTTTCTGTTTCTGGGACAAACAAAAATTAGATCATTATCAGGGGTGAGCATGAACACAGACACCCTCACTATTAAGCTGCAAATCACTTTATTCTTCAATTTATAGCATTTTAAGCATATTGCCCTAACATAGATTTTGCTACAATGTGCCATTTTTGCTATGTTATGGTAAAAGACAAATTGGATCAGTATAATGTAAATTAAAGTGGAAAATGGAGACTTGGAAAACAAAGACAAAATACAGCTTTATCAGTCTTGTATTGGTAAAATCATTTATGTTCAAGTGGTATGATTAGGAATACCACCAAAATCAAATGACTTACCTGCCTCCCTGCATGGAAAGATGTTAGATACCATTCAACAACTGCCAGCATTCTTTGTTCTGGAGTTTCAAGCTCAGGTATTCTGAATAATAATAATAATAATAATAAAAATAATAATTATAAATTGATGATGAAGTCATGAACCAATAATATACAAACTACTTTAAAACTCTTCATGTAACATGTGGTACCATGGATAAGATTTATTAAGAAAATGATATCAAAACTTTTATTCATCACACATACAATGACAGCAAATTTTAGTGATGGAAAGAGAAAAAAAATCACCTGTTGATATATAGTCATGCCTGTCTGAATGCAAGTTGCCGCTCTTAACAACAACTTCTTTGGAGTTTGTCTAGTGATGTGTACTTTGAATTTATCGATGGTCATTTCTAAGGATGTGAGCTGTGAGTCAGCTCTGTTGGCTCCTTCAATTTCAATGTGACTGGGTATCCAGCAGAATATTATGGGTTTTGTTTTTTCCAAGGTGTTGATCCTATTTAGCAGTTTTATGACCAATGAATTTTTTAGTTTTTTTTCTCTTTTTTAGGAGACTAAGACTGATAAGGAGTCCAAGAATGATAAATTTTTGGTCACTCTTGAATATATCTAGTGCACTGAAAAATAGATGCTTCATTTGGTAATCGTTTTTTGATAAGATTTTTGTCGAGTACTGCTGCACTACCTGTTCTTTTTGTATTTTTAGAGCCGTCAGAAAAGTAATTTTTTTTTTTGGTATGTTTAATTTAAAAAATGTCTTTCTTTTTTTCAGGTTCTGCAATGTGGGTAGACTTATCCTTATATCAAGGAATTTGATCATCCTTAGTAGAGTTTCAGCATCATTTTTTTTTTTTTTTACTTCTATCAGTAGTGTATTATTTCTATTTTTTTTTTTTTTATCTGTTTTTGGAGTTAGAGATTTTTTTCTATTACAAAAGGTGACAACTTCATTATTAGTTTGTCTTCTGTTGGTTCTATTTCAAAAAGTTTTTCTTTGATTGTTTTTCTGTGTCCCTTTCTGTGTCTGTATCAATGTGTAATCTCTTTTTGTGCTCATATTTTGTTTATTATTATTATCCAGCCATGCTCCCCACCCACCTTGGTGCCCCATGTAGGGAAGAAAATGAGGCGGAGAGAAATCCCATTCACAACATTCCTCCAGAGCTACATGTCTGGTATAATCAAACGTGGGGAGGGTTCCAAGCACCTGTTATATCCAGGATTGTCCACCCAAGTATGGGCTTTCCTCAGAAATTGAAACAGCCATGTCAGATTCCTTTGTCTTCAGTCTGATTGACCCTATAGCCAATGCTTACTTACTAAGTCAGTTTAACATTTGATATGGTAAATTTGAGTGCATTTTGTTTGTTAGTTTGATTTCGGGCTTGACATGACCAGGCAATTGATTGGATCTAGCCTCTCCAACCACCCATCTAGCTCAAGTAAGGGCCAAAGTAGAGTGTTTAGAAGTATATCTATAGCTCAAAACCCTCAACCACCAGGATTCCGTACTCAAGCATTACAGGTGGCCTCCTTGGGGGACTTTTACTCCCTGCAGAGGTGCAGTTGGCATATTCTGTCGCCATGCTGATAGGGCTTGGCATTGTAGACTAGTTACTTGTCTGAAGTCTGCCTGGGGAAGAAGGGCTGACCAAGAAATTGCTTTTTGAACAAAGAGATGTTACCTAACTTGCCAAAACAGTATTCCCATCTTTTCCCAGTTTTCTTCAACAAAAGAGGCAGTAGCATTTTCAGAGAAGTCTGATGAAGATTGGAAAGTGGTGAGAAATGGTGGCAGAAAGATCCAGTCAGTAGTTCCCAAAGTTATATGCATCAGTGGTCAAATGCAGTGTCAGTTTTTACCATTCCAGTAAAGGAAAAACCAAGAGAAAATATTGCTACCAAAGAAAAGTAAAAAAAGAACAGTGGAAACTGCAACTGCCATTAGTTGCCAGTCTTCCATAAACACAAAATTATTACCACTTTTATAAACACTGATGCTATTGCTTCACCAAAAATGGAACAAATATCTAATTCATACTGTGTCTTTTCACCCTTACACATTCAAGTATCCCAGACACTTCCCATACAAAAATGTCCTTCTCTCGCCCCACCCACAAAATACAATATGGTTTTAAAGATTTGAGAGGCCTTCAAAAATTCAGAATTGTGGAGTCAGGTATTAACATTGCTAATGCAAGTGAGCCAATCAGGGCCAACTATATCAAAGCACAGTGATGGGATATTGTCAAGTAGACACATAAGTCAATCTCAAATTTTGAATGCAGTGTCATTTAAATGTTACAACAGGATCATGTACTTACGACAAAAACAGCAGTGGATGTGCCATACAGTCAGCAAACATTTCCAACAATGAACGCTTTTCCAAAATAAAAGTGGGTAAAACCACCTGTAATGAATATTCGGAATTTAAAAATTAGTAAGTATGAAATTAATTTGCTTTTAAGAAGTTATTCAAAGATAAGAATCAATGTTGAAGCTGGCATTGCAAATATAAACAGCGAATAGATACAAAATACTAAGAATATTTTCTGAACAAACCTATCAATTTTAAAGAAAAATCACAAAGGGAAACAAAAGTTGGACAAAGTACATGAAAACCATTTTCACAACAGTAAATGTAGTGATAAATTTAGAACTACATTGCATAGATTTTATGGCTAGGTTTAAGTGTTTTTTTTTTTCAACTGGCATGACTGAGATAGAATAATTTTTTGTGATTAATATTGTAAGCAGCAAAATTACAAATCTCTCTAAAAATGATGAAGGTTCAAGATAAATGCAGAGAATTATTCTAAGTTTTTAACAATGTTTTTTTAGTGTTACAGGCTAAAAACAAAAATACTTCAGGTAAGATTTTCATGCAAGACATTACATCCTTTACATTTGACAAGCTATTGTACATCTTATCAAAAAAGGGTTTCATTAATTGAATCATCCTGCCTCTGCAGATATTAATCCAATAGAAAATGTGTGATCTATCATTATAAAAAGATGTAAAAAAGAATGGAAAACAATAGTCAAGCAAAGATCTCTGGAAAGCAATAAAAACTGCTACATGTTAATGTTGCAACAGTAGGAAAGTTCACAAAATTAATGAACAAAAGACTGATGAAAGCTATAGAATATCATAGAGCTCATATTGACATATAAAATAACATTTATTCAGACAAATGGGATATTCTGTTATTCAAATGCTTCTTTAACCAATATATTTTTGGTTTCGTTATAAATAAAAAAATTATATTGTACTTTGTAGAATATAACTTGACAATTCCCAAACAAATTATCATCAATATTTTTAATGACGATAGAGACAAGCTGAAAATCACACAATATATGGATGATAGTAATATTTCTTAATTTTTTTTTCCCCCAATATCAATTGGTTAATACCAATTTTATTGTGAAAATACCGATTTGCATAATAAACTTTGATAGTGTTGCAATAAAAATATTTTAATTTTTTACAATGATTTTATAGGAAAATGTTCTGTATGAAAAAAGTACATTGTAGAACAGGGAAAATTATATAATATTATCTACTATAATGAAAATAAAATCTAGAATCACTTATGTTTTTTAATCTACTTTGAAAAAAGATATGTGCATCACCAGAAAGAGTGACTAATTAAATGCTGTAGAGTTTTGTCTAAACCCATTTTGGGGCAAAGAGAGTATTAAAAAAAAAAAATACTTACGACAACATGCATACTAATACATAAAGTAGATAGTTTAATATAAAACTTCTATTATGACCTTACACATTTATTCTTACAATCTCTATAACACCTGTGTCATCACTTAAATGTCATAAATAGGAAACAAACTATTGATTTAATAGGGTCACATATATGACTTGTCTAAGAGTACTCATTGTTAAATTGATGAGGTGGTTTATAAAATAAAAAAGAAGGTCAGATCAATAAGGGCATTTAGTAATGATTTCTTTTGGATTAGTTAAAAAATTAAGGCTAAAAATATGATATTCTGACACTGACACCAATTTTGTTGACAGTAAACTGTAGGATCTTGATCCTACAGTGTTTGTAAAACCAGCATTAAAACAGTCTCCAAACTAAATCATGCAACAACACATTCTGATTGGCTAGAAAATATAAAAAAATATAAATTACATGTTTTCATCAATGTACGGATTGTACTAACCTAGTTTGTGACCTGAACAAAAACACTATTATGCCAACGAATCTGAAGCATGTTTTGTATATAAATGACACTTTAACCAACAACCAGAGAGTTGAGGTGAGCAAATTCCAATTAGACTAAACGTTAAAAAATCTTTTAACATCAAACCCAGTCTGTTAATATATTTTTCAACTCAAGCAAACTACTTTAACAAGCAAACCAAGAGATAAATAACTAATCAAAGAAAGACAACTCAGTAAAGACGAAATAAGTCATAAACATTACACAATATTTCATACTCGAACTGTTTAAATTTGACATAAACACCGTAATATTGTAATATACTTCCTCATTTTCGTACACATATTTCAACAACATAAAATCTTTCTAACCAAAACTTAGTTAATACTTAAATTCAAACGTACAAAGACATTTGAATAATTTAAGCTAACTATTCAACAAATGTTTGTACCTTATTGTTATATAAATATTTTAATCATTGTTGTGCAAAAAACTCTTGTTTGAATATTATTATTCTTTTGTGATAATATAAATGCATAGGGAGTAAGGGGGTAACACATACCTTCTTCCCCCTACAAAATAATTTCCTTTAATACTAAAAATCAAAGTTCTTTTATATATGATGGCTGCCAACTTGTTAAAGGAGTGCAATAACAAGTTTGATAAGTGCTTTTCATTCTGACCATTTTCAAGTCCTTATAAAAAATAAAAATACATAAGACACACTTAAGCTGTTTATATTTTTATAATCTACAGTAAACATTCACTAATGAAACATTTCAAATTTCTACATACAATATCCATGGAATTATGAATGCTAAAAGTTCACTGAAAAATTTAGCAAAAAGCAAAAACTACAGTGAAATTTCATGATGCTCTGACTTTTAAAAAGTTACAGAGCTAATATTTAGGATATTATCAATAAATTTGGTTAACTTGATATATATATATATATATATATATATATATATATATATATGTGTGTGTATGTGTGTGTGCGCGTATACACACATACACACTTATTGCTTAAAATTTGCTATATTTGTTTTCTGGTGCTGTCAAGCTATGTAAAATCATTCTACACACAACTTATATGATATAATCAAATTTGAAGTGTAACATTCCACACACAAAAATAAAAAAAGACAAAAAACCTCAGGTTGTAACTAACAAAACTTGCCTAAAATAGTAACAACATTTATTTCTTGATACTGACTAATGCAGTCAAGAGTACAAATAGAACATGAACTTTGAACAGTTTATCCACAATTTTGATACAGATGAACAAAAACTTGCTCAAAATTTGGAAAAATACAATAAAAGTTAAAGATAAACTATCAGTTGAATTTATTAGGTTGACCAGAAAATCCAAACTCACTCTGGAAAGAAAACAACAAATCTTGATTTCTGTCTGGTGGAATTTCCAAGGAGAACTGTATTTTGATCTTTTACCACAGTCATGCCATCAACACTAAACTGTATTGCTAGCAGCTAGACTGAGTGTACAAAAAATTAAGAGTATCTGCTTTTGTCAATCGATGTTGGGCTTTGTTTCAGCAAGACAATGTGAGGCCACACACTGCCAGGTTGACTAAGAAGTTCAAACAGATCGACGATGTCGAGATTCGTCCACATCTACCATTCAGTCCCGATGCTTCTCAGAGTGACTATGGTCTGGTCTGCTCTGCTCAATGGCATACTTCCTCCGCAACCAGCAAGTCAACAATTTTGATGAAGTGAAGGAAGCTTGATTACAGTTTTTTGATTCAAAGTCAGTGGACTGGTATCTGGGACAGATTCAGATGCTGGCAGATAGTCATGAATGACAGACTTTATTTTGAAGAATAAATGTTGGCATTGCTCCATAAAATTTTGTTGTTTTTTTCCCACTTCCTAAGTGAGTCAGGACTTTCTGGCCAACCTAATAATAAGACTTGTTGAGATAAATATATACGTGTTTTATAGGATAAAGACGTAAATAAAAAAAAAAAAATACTCAAATATTTAACACAATAATAAATAGCTATATGGTCTGCAGTAAATTTTAAACAAATTTGATACATTTTATATTTTGTTTCTACATTTGAACAAAGCATGAATATACTTTTACTCATTTCTTTAAATATGCAAACAATATTAAAAATATAAAAAGTAAACTATTCAATAAAAAGAGGTTGGCAATGATAATGATTATCAAAGCATTGGTAAATTCCTAACAAATAATGTGCATAAATAATTTGAGCAAAGGCCATCTTTCAGTAATCCTTTCAAAATTTACAGACAAGATATGGGAGAATTAATCTTTTTGGACAATCCAAAGATGATAATGTTTACCTTTGTTAAGTCCATTCCCAACTTGAGTTGGGACAACAAATGCAATATGATACTTTTGTGCTCATCAACTGCACCAAGTTCTGTGTCTTTGTATTCCTCTTCATCTTCAACATCTTTGGAATGATCAATGGGCTCTATAAAAAAACAAAACAAAAAAAACAGTATTATGGTGGCTGTAGTAAGAATGGTAAGTAAGAATGTGTTCTTTTGGTGCAAGCAATATTGTGGTATGTTTGAGTCAGTGATTGTGGTTTGCTAAGTTTAAGTATAAGACATTTAGAGATCAGCCTTCTTCATGACCCATTTTTGGCCTTGTGCCATATTTGTACAATAAGTATCAGATTAAAATATTCACTTATCAGCCAGTAAGTAGCAGGCATCCAGAAGAGACAATGCCAGGTTAGCATCAGCAGAAATGTCAGTTAGATTGCACTCAACATATATAACTTGAGGATTGTTCAATATATTTTAAATAAATACATATAATTGAATTCTAATTTTTAAATTTCAGATATAAAAAAATTGTAATGGTTACATAAGATATGACCTTAAACAAGATATTGTAAAGTTATCAAATGATAGGAACACAACATTATTAAATTATAAACAGATAAACAGATCATAGAACAAATAAAAAGGAAATTGAAACTACTACGAAAAATTGTCTGTCACAAAAAGTGATTTAAGAAAAATTAAAAGGGCAAAAAGAGTGGAATGACTAACAAGAAAATAGTTGAAGAAGCTGGTGTTGCCAACAAATAGAAAAGATGCAGAATATTAAGAATGTTAGTTATAGATGTGAAAGGAACCAAACAACCACTTTAAAGTAATTTGATCACTGACATCATGTTCATGAAGAACTTGATTCAAAGTTGAATGCCTGTACACAATAATACAAACCATCACATTTGTCCATGATACCAGCAGTAGCAGGATTGGGATAAGGCAGGGATGTTGTAGATGTATAACTTTCACATGGTGATGGTTCATCTGCTGTTAATGAGTCAGAGTGAGGATTGATGTGGGTTGATGTTGGCTGCTGTTCTTCTTGCACTTCTGCTTGTTGCTGTTGTTCTGGTTCTGAAAGTGTCTGTTGTTCTGTTGATGGTTCGGAATTTACTTCTCTTTGTTGTTGCTGCTGCTCTGTGGAAGACTGTTTACCCACTGATGGATGTCTGGCAAGAGATGTATGTAAACAGTAATAATAGTTATATAGTGATGTAAAAAAAAATAAAACAAACAAACAAAAAACATGCTGAAAAAAATTAACATCAAAAATTTCTAGCAGACATTAAAAACATGTATTGATTCAGTTCTAAGCATTTAATTTGCACAATATTAAATATGTGCAAAAAATATCTTTTAAAAGAAGAATATTAACAAAACCTTTATACCAAGTGTGCTGCCAAAATCTTCAATTGATAAATATTTGGCATGTATAAAAAGCGTGAAGCTTAATTTAAATCTAACAAAATGAAAATGCCAATAAAATAAAAGAATCTCCTTTTAATGAACTTGCTCATCCACTTACCAGGCAAATTTCAAGTTTAATAGAATAGCATCCTTAATAGTTGTTAGTCTATCTTATAACAGACAAGTTTTATTTATTTATTTTTTTTTTAAAGTGCATTTGTTGATATGCCAACCTCTACCTTTATCCCATAGGCCCATAGGTTTAGGATTTAAAAAAAAAAAAAAAAAGTATAAATTTTTATTTTTAAATTCAAGTTTCTGATTATTAGCTATGAAACTTTTTGCTCTGGTAAAAAATTAGTGATTTCTACAAGATAAGGACATTACTTTGAATTAAAATATATATTGTTTAGAATTGTATTTTGCTTGGAAGTGATTTATTACCAACATGTTGATATGCCATTGGCAGAACAAATTACTTAAAAAGTTTTATCCCATAGGCCATGGTTCAATGCAAATGCAAGAAATTACAATTGTCATGAGAGACTTAAAAAAAAAGTAAACAAGGAGATTGAAAAATTTTTAGCTTTTTAAATTCCAATGGTTTGAATGATCATCAACACTTGGTTTCAAACACTGTTATGGCTATAGAGAAGCCCAGATAGAGAAACAAAAACCCAAATCAACTATAACTATCAAGAGATTTAAGAATGTAGTTTTACAGTGCAAAACATATTCAAGCACTGATTGCAAGAATGACCACCTTCCAGTTATATGTAAACATGGAGTGAAACTATGGAAATTGAAAAGGGCCAAAGTTACTTTATGAACACCTGAATGGAATGAATTTTAAAAGCAGATACAATGAACAAAATGGGAATGGAAATTCGAAGTGGAACACATCAAGGGAAGCTTTAGTAACATCAGCAAAGAATCCTAAAGAAAAAAAAAAAGGTTGGATGATAGATGAAATTCTTTGACATGAAAAAGGAAAGAAACAATGCAATAGCACAGAATATAGGACACTGCACAAAGAAATTAAGCAAATATCAAAAAGAACAGGTCAACAAAATTAAATGAGTTTCACAGATATGCAAAAAAAAAAAAACACTAACTATGGGATACATAAAATCCAATGTTGGGACACTAATATTAGAGAAATAAATAAAATTACTTTAGAAATGGAATGAATACATTGGAGAACTCTTCCACAATGTAAAAAACAATCAACAATAGAGAGAAATATCAAAAGATCAGAAATATTAAAATCTGAAGAGAAATCTCTACTGGCCAAACTGAACAGGAACTGATGGAATTGTAATAGAGATAATGGCAGCCTTAGATGATTTCAGCATTGAAAAGATTATAAACATAATAAATAGTTTGGGCACTTCAATGTGGTGTAATAGTTAGTAAGCTTGTCTCCCTAGATCAATTATGATGGAATAGCTAGTTCAATCATCACTGAGTGCTCCGTTCTTTTGGCCTTCTGCCACATCTAAGCTACACTACCACCTAAGTAGATCTATTTTCATAGCAGTGCCTAAAAAGCCAGGTGCAAACGAATGTGAACTATCGGACAATCAGCCCAATAAGCCATATAACAAAACTTATCCAGATTCTGATGAATAGAGTATGCAGCAGAATTAGACCGGCAATAGGACAAGAACTGTTGTTTCGTTAAAGACACTAGAACAAGGAATGAGATATTTATGCTCAGAATAATGCCAGAAAGACCAATAGAAATACAGAATGTGTACCTGTGTTTTATATATTACCCAAAAGTGTTTGACAAAGTACATCACAAAGAATTGTTGGAACTGCTAGGTAAGAACATATTTAGGAAGGACATTAGAATAATCAAGAATCTATACTGGCAACAAACAGCCTGCATATAGATAGAAAATGAATTCAGCAAATATACAAAAATAGAAACAATGTAAGACAAGGATGTGTCTTCTCACTGAACTTATTCAACCTTGATAGTGAGATAATTCTGAAAAAATGAAAAGTCCTACCAGGATTCATTATTGATGGACACAATCTTAATAACATAAGATATGCAGATGACACAGTATTGATAGCAGACACAGAAATGAAACTACAAGAAATCCTATAAATGGTAGTGAAGGAAAGTGACTAAACATCAACTGTAAGAAGATAGAATGCATGGTTGTTAGTAAAAGGAAGAGTCCAACATGCAAATTAAAAATTGGAGTTACCAAAATCAAACAGGTACAAAAATTTAAATATCTGGGAAGCATTTTAACAGGGAATGGAAAGTGCAACACTGAAATCTGAAAATACACTGGCATAGCTAAAGATGCCTTCCAAAAGCTAAAAGTATTAAGAAACAGAAAAATGTCATTAGAAACAAATAAAAAAGTAGTGAACTGTTATGCTATATTGTTTTTCCTATATGACAGTGAATGCTGGACACTCCTCACAGATGAAGAGACTTGAAGCAACAGAAATGTGGTTCTACAGAAAGATGCTGAGAATATTATAGACCAAACAAGTGAGCAATAACAAAATTTTAGAGAAAATAGAAACAAAAAGGACACTTAACATTGAGAAGAGACAAACTGAAATTTCAAGGGTACATGGGGAAAGAGTGCTTGGAAAATTTGATAATCCCAGGACAGAATAAAGGCTAGAGTTGACAGAGGCAAACAACTCATAACCTAATAGTAAACTTAAGTAAATGGATGAGGGAACAAGGCTTAGGAGAAATAACAAAAGATAGAAATTTATTAAGGGCTACAAAGGACAAAGAGAACCATGATCGCCAACATCCTAAAGGTACATGGCACATAGAAGTGACCTATCTAATCTTTAATGGATGCAAATTAAAATTTATTATTAGTAAGTCTCAAGTTTTACCAGTTTTACAAATATACAAATTAAAGAAAATTTGTATATTTGTGAGTAGAAGCATAGCTAGTTTTCCATGTTCATTTGAATAGAGTAGAGAATAAGAAAAACATCACTCAATTTCTAGTTTTATTTGAAAATTTGCAATATTTTAAGGGAAGAGCTCTTCTCAATATCAGATAAAACATGTGCAGAGATTAACAGTGTGAACACTGGTACACCTCTTTGTGTAGGCTCTGGAGACAAAAGAACATTAGTTTAGGACGACTGGTTAGGTTTTTATTAATTCTATTATATTTATTGTAAAAGCAACTAATTTCTTAAAATAAAAAGATGTTACTTCTCCCCAGTAGTGACAAGCTTTTAATGAATGCATCACAAACAAACAAACAAAAAGTAAATAAAACTTAAGTGCTTCTTTTTAAATTGGTAAATAAAAAATGAATGTTGAAGGAATTTAGGTAATTTCTAATTGTAAGAACTAATTTTACTTTCATAAACAAAGTAAAAACTGTCATTTTCTTTCAATTTTTGAGTTTAAAAACTTGAATGAACAAACATTTGTGTTATGTTTTCTGCTTCTCATACTCTAAATTGATAATACAAAGGAGAATTTAAAAAATGATAAACATAGAAAATTTAGTTATGATATGGGCTTATAACTATAAAAGAATGTTCTGATAAAGACTTTAAAAACTTTCTGTTTGTGAATTATTATGCACTAATATTCTTTATATAGAAAATGAATGCATACAGAACAATTCTTCAAGTATGATAAAAGTTACTTTTCACATGAAAATTAATAAAAACATTTGTGCAAAATTATTCAAGATGAATGTTCAGACTAAAATGTACCTTATCAACTTTTGTATTTATTGTTTTTAAAATTATTTTTTTTTTTCATTTATTTCCTAAACATTCTAATGTTTTTTTTATATTACTAGCAATAAATCTAAAAACATGTAAACCTAAAACCCCAAAAACACAAGTTACTTAAGGAAAATAAAATACAGAAAAGCAACCAAAACATGAAATTAATCTAGAAACCAAAAAAATCATACAAACTCAACCTAAATGACTACATAAATTGACTTGCATTGATCACATTAAAAGATCACAAAAGTCTTCAGAGATTCCCTATATAGACCAATAAAGGCAACAAGATGTGAACAAGGAAAAATAAGTAAATATACTAGAATAAATTAACTTTGAAATAGGAATAACATTAGGACTAAACCAATGAAAAACACACACAATACAGTAATAATCTAGTCCTGTAACTTAAACCAAAAATAATTGTGCATTCACCCAACTTGATATTTAAGATTTTTATCCACCCATCAGCAATGTAACTTAACTTCCAAATCATTTAGAAAACTGTAATGAGAAACTACACTTCCTTCCACCTAAAGCAATTTCTCAATCCATCAAAAAGATTATCCTACAGCTCATCTGACAAAAGGATTTTCAATAAAACCAAAAATTACTAGGAAACAGCACTAAAAATAATAATTGGTTTTCAGTAAAATCAAATAGAAAAAAAATACAACATAAAAAAATCATATGGTTCAATCCACCATGATAAAAATGAATATAGGTAAAATATTCAAACTTATCAGTCCCCAAAATAGATGAAAATATTCAACAGAGACATTCTTAAACAGCTAGATCAGCAATGGAAATATGTTACAAATCATAAAAACAGAAAAATTTCCAGTACACAAAAAACCACTACCCCGACCTATAACTGCAGAACAAAGCTTGAATGGTCATAAAATAGTAACCGTCTACAAGTCAAAGTCACATCCCAACCTATTCTAAGATGCAAAGGAATATATATAAGAATTAATATAAATATATAATTTGCCACTTAGCTGATTGGTGCTAGCTTCAGCATCCCGAGTTTTGTAGACAGACCCTCCAGCAGTCACTCTACCCACTCGTCAGGGGTTTATTAGCAATTACACACACACACAAATATCATTTAACAAAAAAGGCCTAAAATTACATAGAAAATAAAGCTTGCAATAACACCTCAAAACAATACAACTTTTGCCAAAAGAAGAAAATAACAATAATAACCTTTTCTGATTAAAAAAATTTCCTAAACAAAAGACCAGAGCTCATTTACAAATGCAGAGATAAAAGCAAATTCTTATTACACAACTTACAAGCACATCAAGACTATAAAGACTAAACAGTTAATAAGCCATAACCTAAAGCTAATAGACTTTCTTTAAAAGCAATTACTAAACTTTAAAACAAAAGGATATATATAAAAAATAAAATTAAATAAACCAAAAAAGAATAAAAAAAGTGAAGAATAATAAAAAAAATAAAAATAAAAAATAAAACATAAAATAAACTCAAGGTCAGGACTACAAATAATGTAAAACATTAGTCCTAAACAAAAAATGGTTTCCTTATTCTTCCTATTCTCATAAAGAAGCCAACAAAAAGAGGATTACCAAATTGTTTAAAGATTGAAATTGCTAGTCATCATGCAAGTGTTAATTTCTATGTCCATATTGTTTGTTTTACAAGATATGTTCTAACCTAGTACTGATAGTGACAATGCAATATAAGATAAATAGTAATCAATCAATTTTTGGATGATAACATACATTAAAAAAATGGAAAGAAAATTACAACTTTGGATACAAGGGATTAATTTAATTAAATAAACTGACCAAAAATTTGTTTTTATTTTGTTCTGATCTTTTATGAGTCAGAGTGTTTTGGGTTTTTTTTTATGTAAATAACTCAAATGATAGCACAAAAATGTCTGTAACATCAACGACAAAAAAACAAAAAAAAAAAAAACAAACTTTGAATTAAAACAAAAAATAGCAAATAAAGTTAGTGTTTTAGGTATTAATTTCCAAACATTAAATATATATATATTAAATAAGCTGTGAAACTGAATTTAATAGTTTGTATTTACCAAACTCAGTGTAAGTTTCAGTTTAAACTTCATCTGTGAGGTTTAATCATGACTAATTTAAATAAAGAGACAATATAATTATTCATTGAATAATGTACATTGCAAATATTAACATTATATGACAATATAAAAAAGAACAGGTTTCTTGTTCAGATAAGGTTATTAATAGAACATAAAATATTTTTACCTAACAAAGGTAATAATATAGATATTATGGCTTGATTCGGGAGGCGAGGTTGAATAGACCCTCCTGAATAGAAGTCTTCAAATTTGGACTTGAAGAGTTATTTAAATGATATACTTTAAAGAATATCAACCAAGCCAGAGTTTGAAGTTTTATTTGTTTGATATGTTAGATTAGCCATTAATGAATTATGTCACTGGTTCTCAAATAGGAGCAATATTTAGGGTTACACCAGGGGGCTGAAGTTACAAAGTGGCAAATACAAATTATTAGAATATTAATCTTTGTACAAACTATAATTCTATAAAGTACTATTTGAATCTTGGAAGGGTGAAATAACATTTTGAAATATGGTAAAAAAGAGTGCATGAGTTAAAAGAAAAGTTGGGAATACCTGAATTATTTAAAAAGTGCTGAAAGTCTTAATCTGTACATTTGATTATTAATAAATGGAAAAATTGAGCACAATAATGATAAAGAATAGCTATATCATTACAAGATTATTCTATCAACATTCATGTTTTTATCAAATAAAATCATCACTACTATCTGGATTAACCACTATTATCTGCTCATAACTTCCAGTTTTTAAGAACTAGCAGGTCCCAGGTCCCATTTATTAATTTCTAACAGCAAACCATGAGTACTTTTATTGTTAAAATGAAAATATTCACATATGTATGTAAAAATTTATCTATATTTATAAACTATAATTTACAAATCATTTAAGTATTAAGTAACCATCTGGTTACATTCATAGCAAAAACTTTTCTACAGAAAAGCTTTTATAACAAGATTTGTATAATGTACAAACAAAAAAATAGTGATATTTAACAAGGAATATCTTAAACTCTAAAAGGATTCATTTTTTTTTTTTTTTTTTAATAATACGGGCTTAAGCATTCACATTGACTTCAAAAATAAATCTCAGTAATCTTTTTCTGTATTAAACACATTTTTCTCAGTACAGGGTTAAATTTTCAATCTTTCATTCACAAGTTACATTTATCCAGTGCCCCAATTCTAGATTTTATTCATATTTCAGATTAATAGCATTAGTGAATTATCAACATTTCAATTTCTGGTTAATGAAACTAATAAATCATATCCAAGAAGGAAATTTGACTTTATCGCAAATTAGCACTTACAAAACTGTAATCAACAATGAATGACAAATTAAAATCCATATGAGAGAGATAAGCTACAAAATAGTCACAGTCAACAAATTGTTAAGTCATTAGAAGTGCCTTAATCATTTATTATAGTGAAGGTTGGTTAACCCTTCAAATATAATTTTAAGTATTTAAAAGAGGAAAAAAGAGTAAAAATTACTATTAAATCATATAGGTGAACAAATGTGAAAAATCTTTTGTGTAATAAAAGATGGAAAGTATAACAAAGAAGGTTCATTAATTTCAGAAGTAACAATATTTAGATTGCTGAACTAGAATATTCTTTACTATCTTGTATGACAATGAAAGCTGGACAATTTTGTCTCAACTGAAAAAAACTTAGGTCATAATGATGGAGTTAAGAATATTAGTAATAGTTAACTACTTTTTGGACATATAATGAAAAAAGGTGGCTTTAACTCGCACATGGCATATCAAAAGCAAGATAAGCAAAAGGAAAACATTTAGTAACCTACTTTATAAATTTGTGCAAATGGCTAAAAGAACAAGCAGCACAAAGAAAAAGAAAGGTGATAAAGGAGAAAGTATCACTGAGAATAATACAAGAGAGGAAACTGTGGAGGGTCTGAAGAGATATGGCATAATGAGAGATTGGATAAACTTAGAAATGGATGTTACTACTAATGTCCTGAAGGAACGGGCGGGAGGGTGTTGAGTGCAACACTTACTGATCAACCCAGACTGTGCCAATGAATATGATAACACATTTTTCTTCTGTTTTACATAGAGCTCACTCTACCCACCACCTTACAGTTCTCAAAGCTGTATATATCAAATTATATCAGCCCAGCAGGGGTGAACCAAAAAACTTGGAGAGTTGAGTTAAAGGGAAATAACTGAGACAGCCAGAAGAGGCATGGCACATGGAACTAGAACAATCTACCTGGTGGACAAAATAAAGGGTTTGGTTCAAAATTCCAATTACTTGAAAGAGGCCAGAGCATACAACAGCTGAAACATTGTGAATATGGCAATGAAGATGTGGATAACAATCCAAATAATGATAATACCTCATCTCAAAGATATAGACAGATATTAAACAAAGAGACCATCTAAAAGAGTTGCAAAAGGTTCTGAAGTTGTTTGGACACCATGGTTGAAGGTGATTTTATTGAATAAAAAAGTAAAGATATTTTTTGTGTAATTTTGCAAATATATCTGTTAAAAGGAGAGGTCTGTGTTATTTTTCATTTAGCATAAATTAGATGACAATTTATCCATCATACCATATATATATATATATATATATATATATATATATATATATATATATATATATACACACACTTATTTATCTCACACACATTAAATACTTACAATGGCTGTGGATGCTGTTGGTCATACCAAGTTGATGATGAAGATGAAGCATTTGGTGCACTACGACTCAAGGCATTCTAAAATAAAAAAAAACAGGCAGTTTAAGTGGTTTGAGAGTAAAGAAATTTTGTAAGGCATTTGCAAAAGCCACTGACATTGGCTAAATAGTATTGCTTGTTAAACTCAAATAAAGAATATAAAGCCCCAATGCCTAGCATATTTAATTCCTTCTAATCTATTTCAAGCCTGTTCAGATTTTTGCAGTATAGATAAATAACAGCTATATAGATCATGTAAACTGGCCCATCAAAATTGACAATGGGTGAAGCAGCTCCCACCCTCTTTACAGTTACTGAGGCCTAGGAAATAAGGTACTAATGGAGGAGTGGTTTTTCCAGTGCTTACACACCTATGCTCTTCCCCATCAAGACATGCCTGTAACAAGATATTTTATCGAAATATCTGGGAAAGTGGACAGAGCAAAAAGATGTGAAATTCATAGTTGCCAAAAACAGAAGAGTCAAACAATCTTAACCAAAATTTGAACTTATTTTGCCTGAAATTAAAACATAGAAGAGGATTAGCATATAGTTATTAGCTGAATTAGGATATGAAATTTTTACTTTATAATATTCAATCTATGTGAAATGTGAAGTGCATTGAAGTGGGAAGTGGAAGGAGATCACATTGAAATACCTTTTGTAAGTAAAATTATGTTTTGTCATTATGCTATGAACTTATTGATATACCTATGTAAAATCAACTCCTTAAGTGACATTTTTGTCAGTGGTTGATGAGTCTATACTTACATCATTTATTGTTTCTACTGTAAGTTGATATAAATTTAAACAAGTGGTATTGATTTTACAAATAAGATTCTTAGTGCTAGAGAGAGAAAGATTTCCTTCACATTAATGATAAAACCTCAAGCCTGCTAGCTCATAAATCTACTAAAGAATGATCAAGTTAGTTTTTTTCTTTTTTTTGCTAGGTAATCAAAATCATACATTTTCCAAATAAATCTCCCTATTTCTACAGCAATTCTGAAGCAGTTGTTTTTTTTTTAAGTCATTTCTTTCTTGGGAACAGGTAACAAGCTTTAAGTATCCAATTTTGAAAACTAAATATACCTTCTAGTTTTCAGCCTCAGAGTTACAAACCTAGAAAGGCCTAGAAAGCAGATTATATTTGTGTGGTTTAGTTCTAAACCAAAATAGTGAAAGGATTTTTTTGCCACAAAGAAAAAAAAAAGTTGTCATTAATATAGAATTACACAAGCAAAAATTTGATATTTCTGACAAATGCTAGATTAAATGACTAATATTTTTAAGTTATCAGAAAGACCATGTTTCCCTTATATATGACTTAACAAAAAAAAAAAAAAAAAATTCCTTACATTCATAATGAAACCTTTTTTAAATTTCTTTCACACAAATAGGAATTTGATAGCACCAGACAAATCCTTTTTGCACTGAATTTCCTTTAAATAAGTGGATTTATAAAAATCAGTTATTGGCTTAATAAATGAAATATTGGTCTTTGTATTTAATTATTCAAAGTGACATTATAAACTTTTGTTCTGTATAGAAAAATTCCATTAATACAAGATATTTAAATCATTAGTTCAAATGAGGATTTCAATAACTAATACATTGGAAATTTTGTATACATTTATAGTATTATATTTGTAATTCAACACTGTGTATATACTTATCTATTTTGGTGAGAAAAGACGAAGCAGTCATAAAAGCAGCATTGAAAGAAAAAACAAAAAAAAACAAACTGCAGTACCAGAAACGGTACAAGACAACCAATGATGGGGATGAAAACGGTTTTTGAGCATAAAGGAGTTTGGTTATTCAGTTGTTACACTCATGTTTGTGTTACTACAAGTTCAGTGTTTTGATCAGCAGGTGATACACAAAAAATGGAGGTGAACAGCAACATATATAAAACTGTATATGTGCAAAAACATGTATGTATATAGTACCTTTTAGAATGCAGAAATACTACATACTGTTCACTGGCAGAAGCGCAAATGTGCGCTCACACATTGTGTGTCTGTACCATATTCATATTATAAATAACTTCCAATAGAATTACAGCTTACCACTTATAATGGTTAGAGAAGTGTCATTAAGATACTGAACAAAATATATGAGTGCACAGTCTGAATACACCATTCAAAAGAATATGACAAAAAAAAAAAAAAACAAAAAAGCAACACTAGTAGCACAAAAACAGCACAAGGCAGCAAGACAATTCAACTGGGATTTTTTTTAAATATATAAAAAAATTAAAAATATTAATATTACAATGAAAAATTGAAAGCAATTTAAAATGAAATGAAATATATTCCCAGCAACATATTTTTTAACAGTTGTGAAATTTCATGACTCATTAAAAAAAATTGGTAATCATTAAAATGTTAATTTTTTTTTTTCAGTACATGAAAAAATATAAAGTTAGTGCTTTTAAAATACTATATGAAATGAAAAAGAATTACTTAAGTAAAATGATATATACAAAATACTATCTACTCATAATCATTAATCACTTGCATCTTTACTAAATCATTAAAAACAGGTATTAAGCAAAACAGTGAGATTTGTCTAGTAACTTTCTATGTATGATAAAATGAGACTTTTTTTTCATAAGATTTTAAGCTTAAAAATTACTGAGTAAAACAAGTTAAATCTTCAATATTTAAACAATTCATTGTCATCTGAATTAATCACAAAATAACTGAATTAATGTTGTTACAATTTCAGTATCAGTTTGGGTCCATAACAACAACATTGTCATCAGTATAAAAAAAGTATTACAAAAATTTGACTACAAAAATTTGACAACAAAAATAAGGAATTAAACAATCCTATATATGAAACCCAACAAAGCAAGTGTAGTTAACATTTGAAAAACAGCAATTGTATATAAAATGCTAATATAACAGCCCTCACAAGCAGTACATGCATCAAGGGTACTAAATGAAATAAAATCCTATAAGAAAATGTACAAATCCCAGAAGCATATCTGGTTGGACTTGTCGGGCTCAACATTTATATTATTTTCTTTGTTAACAGTAAAATTTTTAAAAATTCTAGTTCTTTTATACTATAAATATTTACTTCACATAATAGAATTGAAGGAGACTTTTTTTTGTTATTTAAAATCCAAACAGAAAATTATTTTTACAAGACAGCTCAGATTCTAATCATATTCAGTATCTTGCTGCTCAAATATTTCATTTTTGTATTATCATTATTTTGAAAAGAAAAAAGAACTGATTCTTGTTTAAAGACATATATTTCAAATCTGTTATTAAATTTAATCACAAAAAGTTGCCAATGATTAAATTTGTAAAAAAAAAAAAAAAAAAAAAAAAAAAAAAAAAAATAAAAAAAAATTCACATTATACAATTCTGTTATCTACTGAATTTAAAAAGGAAATCCATAGATAAAGCATTTGAAAAATAATTGGTTTTCTAAAACTAACATTCATATTTATGATGAGAGAAAAAAAAAAATCATAAGCTAAAGACATTCTTCTAACTTCATTCTGAATGTTGAAAGTGAACTCCAAGATCAGTGTGCTCTTGAGAAGAAATTATTCCATGCAGAATTTAAATAAAAGTTTTTTTTGTTTTTTTTTTTGTTTACTAAATAAACAGTAAGATGCATAAATTGGTAGTAAAATAAAAAGTGAACAGTATAAGCAGAGGAAATAAAATTATCTTAATTTTTCTTTGGTGGGGAAAGAAATGGTGATACACACAAACAGGTCCAAGGTTGATATTTTGATAGGTTAAAAAAAAATTGTCTAAGCAGATATGCATACCAGCATGAACAGTCCTGGTTCCACATATTTTCCATGTGAGAGAACCTACATGAAGAAAACATGGCAGTTACAAGTATGTTATCATGACTGCTATAAATGGACACATGATCAGAGGTAGTGGAGAGCATAACGTTTTTGTATGAACAAATGCACATTGAAACTTGGGTAACATTCAGGTTTTATAATAAGTTTTTATAAATTAGGTATCAAATCTAAAAGGATTTAAGTACACTGAAATTGTTAACAGCAAAGTGTAAAAAGAAAACCCCAAAAATTCCATAACCCTTATGTTTATTATAATGGTCAGCATTCTAATGTTACATTCTAAAGCCTCGTTTTAAAACTTAGATGAAAGTAACCAAAAACAAAGGGAAATATCAAAAGAACTTGTGACCAAATTTTGACTGTAAAATTATCAAAGACAACAGAGGAAGTTCAAATTTTACCATTTAAGAGATATTAAGACATCTTAATCTATATATATATATATATATATATATATATATATATATATATATAGCAAAGGAGAAAGCTAGATAGACAGAGAAACAGAAACAGGATTAATATAAATAAAATTTGTCACTTAGCCGATAGAGGTTATATTCAACACATCAACTCTGGAGTCAAGGTGCCGAATATAACATCTATCAGCAAAGTAACAAATTTTATTTGTATTAATCATTAATACTCTAACACTGATAAGGGCATTTTATTGCAAAGACTGTTTCTTTCAGACTTCCGCTGACAGCATTTCTGGCTCTACAATATCTTTGTTATTGCTATCTCTTTCTCTCTCACCTTTCTCTCTGCTGGGTGATGATAGCCTATGGGTTAGAATCTCCAAGTGATGCTAAATCGGTCAGATTTTGGTCCAGCCTTGAAGCGATCAGGTGTCTAGCCACACTGATGAAACTGTGAAACTGTCTGTGGATGACTATATATATATATATATATATATATAAAAACAAACTGTTATAGTCTAAAATTTTTTTAATATGTTCTCTATGAATGTGTTAATAAATACAGTATTTAACTTATATTAAATCCCTAAATTATTTGTAAAAAAGTTAAATATTTAAATTGCTAGCAAGCATCAAATTAATTTCTTTGGGTTTTTTTTTTTTTGACATCGAAATTACTAATCAAACATTAAAATCTATTTTTTACATAAATTGCTAAAACTTACCAACCATCTCCTCAATATTAAAACCCATTTACAGCCTCTTTCTCTTTACTTCCCTCTCCCTCTTCTTTCTTTTTCCACTCCCATTTCAATATATCACTTCCGTTAAGCTGTTTAAATAGGTCATGGTCTGCTCACTCCTCCTCCCCCAATAAATATTGAGAGAGATATTAAATTAAACCCTCCCTAAACTTTACCATGTCTCTCTAACTACCCCTATTACACTCTGTTAAATTACAAAAACTTACACTACCCATCAATTTTCATTTCATTTTTTGTTTCATTTTTGGAAATGCTTTCTGATGATCCAAAGTCCTTTAAAAGGGCTCTGGTGAAATAAATTATTATAATGGAACCTTAAAGTGGTCTGTTTTTCTTTAAAATATTAGCTCTAGATTTACATTGAACTCTCAGGATTTCATCCTCCTTGGGATTACCCATACGGATTACCAAGTCTTTCATAACTTAATTATATATATATATATATATATATATATATATATCTCTCAACGGGGAAGCTGGCTCAATTGTCTTTGTTAGTTTTCAGGTCCTTGGGCTGAAAGACTCACTCAATATTACTTGTATCTTCAGATTTCTACACAAATTCTTAACTGGGTCCAGATCTGGACTCTAAAATAATTATTAGTCATAGAACATTTCTTGGCAAACTCTAATATACATTTTGGGTATTAGCATTGATATTACAGCCCAAATTTTCAGCAGACTGAGGTTTTGGTTCAAAACCTGAACATACTGTGTTTTTTTTTCTGCATGATCCCATCCACTTTAATTGGGTTTAAAAACATTAACATAACATAATGCTGCTACCGCTATCCTTGTCTGTTAAGCCAATTTTCTTTGGGGTGAAAATTTCTCTCTTGTCACCAAATAAAAACATTCCTATGTCCATGAAACTTAGTTTTTGTTTCGTCTGACCAAAGAATTGCTAACCAATGCTTGGAGTACTGTAGTTTTCCTTAGTTATTTTCCATGGAGGTCATCTTTATACAAGTTTCACTGAGTATCTGCCAAAGTATTTTGATATTATTATTTAAATGAACCAAAATATCTTTGGTGATGATCTTCAGATTATACTTAAAATCTGAAGATTTTTCTTATCACATCAAGTAATCCAAGGTTTTTTATGATGTGGAGATTATCAAATTTCTTGATAATGTTTTAAAAGTGTTGGAACTGGCACTTGAAATTGCTTGGATATGATTTTGTAACTTCTTCCCTCATTATGGATGGTCATAATCTTTAATCTCCTGAAGTCCTCACCAAGTTCTATCATCTTAACAATGGCAACCGATTTCCTTCTGATAAGAAATGATGATTGTAAATGCTACCCTTCAATTCTTGTCTAGAAATGCAAGATACTACATTTCTGTACTAACCTTTTGTACATTTATTTGAAAGGAAGTAAACTCAAATTACTTTCTATACTGTTCACTTCTGTTTTATAAGATATGAATATTAATAATTTGGAATATGTCTTTTGTAATCAAACTGAAAATACTTTTTCTCCATATTTCTCATATATGGTTTCTTTCACTCTTCTTTCTTCAAATATCAATTTAGACAAAGAAAAAAAGCATTCATTTAATAAATATTTTAAAAAGTAAAATTACAATTTTGCAGAGGTGTGAATAATTTCAAGATTAACAGTTAATGCACATATAGAGGGCTGCACCTCACACCCAAGTTTACATCATTATTTGTACAATCACATACAATAACTAATGTTTATATTCTAACAATAATCCTTGTAAAACAAGATATCAATCTATGTTGATTTAAACTTTGATTTTTTTAAAATAGCCAATTGTTTAATGCTGTTTTATGCATCCGCACAAAATATATGAATAAAGTGAAAATACACAAGTAAAGTTTTGACATTTGGTCAAGTTCCTTTATTCTTTACATGAAAAAAATTGCTGGGACCTTAGCAACACAACCTTTAAATGTGTTTGTAATATAAATATAATTTTTAAGCAATACAAATATGCATAAAGAGAAATAAAATTATGCTAATTATCCATAGGTACATTTTAAAGATAAACAAATGAACTGGTGAGCGATTCAAGCACAGCAGTTTATTCATTTATCTTTTAAAAATTTCAATATGATAAAATATACTGACCAACATCAATTACATAAGAGTTAAAAGAATTTAGACATGAGTTGAACTGAATTTAAAAAAAATAAAAAACTTGAATTTAAAGAGGGAATAGGAAAAAAGCCAGTCTTAATCACAAAAAGGTTAAGCAAGTTTACAAGTTATTACTAAAAGCACAAGCTACAGATTTGCAAAAAGAACAGCAACAAAAGGAACAAATTAAAATGTAGGAGGGTAACTCAAAATTGAATTTGTGGAATTAAACTATACTGATTTTATTAATATCTTACCACATGCATTTATCAATAAAATACTAATTTACTGCCTATCATTGATGTGTCAGATAGCAGCTGCTGCTTATTAGGTATGCCAATATTGATCCAAATATCAATATCCAATATTAAACAATTAGTTTGGTAATGCTGTATCTATAATTAAAGGCTGCATCTACTTATACTTTAAACAAATATTATAAGTAAATAAATTTTTGTTTGAAGAAAATTCAAGAATAAGCTAAAATGATCAATGACAATAGAAGTGCAATTCTATTTGTATATTTTCAGAAAAATAAAATAAATAATAAAAAAAAAACAACCAAAGAAACATTTCTGCTTTCTTTTCCATATATATAAGTTATTCAGAACTATAAACTCAATCTCCAAAGTATAATAAAAAAGAATTTATAGTTTTAAGTTTATCTCAATGAGAGTAAAGTATGATGTACTCTCTAATCAGAACTCATTTAATTGTTATTCATTCACAAAGGGGTGGGGGAGAATTGTGTAAAATGTTACATTTGTCTAAACATCAATTTCAATAAATTGCAAAATTCCATATGAACCACACAAATACCTATTGGTCTCTTTAATCATTTAAAATATCTGTTCTTTAAATATGATCAATATACAAGTATTCCAGTTTTCAGACAACTTTTATTCAGTGTGTTATCTGCACCTCAGAATATGTAAACTTTCAATTTGCTTGAGAAAGGAACCCCTAAGTGAATCAGTTTCACTCTATATTAAGAAAAAAAATGGCTATCATAGACAAGTTATTTGATTATTATAATACTCAAGCTGTTACTGAATAATGAAAAGAATTCCAAGATTTAAAAGAGAACAAATATTAATAATCGATTTTAATGATTAATGTGAGATTGCTAACTGAAAAACTGTAGTGTCATAGCACATATCAACGGTAAAATAGATTGAAATGTTATGAGAGAAATCAACTATTACAAATAGCCTGCATTTTAACTCAAAATTAAAACTATCAAGTCATCAAAATAGAAAGTACTTTTAGTTGTGAACTACAAATGGGTTGGTCAGCAAGTCAAAATTGGTAAAGTACAACATTTATGGCATGGATAAGCTGAGGTAAGATAGCTATAGTTTGACTATACATCTCATATTTTATTGGCATTTCATTATACATTAAACATGTAGCATTGTTTTTAAGTTATTCTATAAAGAGCTGATACTGTCAATTAACTTATATAAAGTACAAAAACATTTCAAAAGAATTTCATCACTGGTTTCTTGTATATATATCTGTAAAAAGCCAATGTTATTTGGAATCATTTAAATGTGTTAGTATTTATACTTTCAAAAGTCACTTGATCCAAATCCAGGTTTATTGGCAGATTTCAAATTATCTTTATTTCTAAAATCCATTTGTATATCTGATGTAAAGTTAAAGTAAACAAAATGAATAAATCCAACAAACTGCAACCTAAAAATGAACACCTTTTTTTTGCACATCAATAAACTTCAGGACATAAGGTTTTGTTAAAAAGAAAAATTTCATATAAATTGTTTCAATGCAAGCTTACTTCGAATGATTCTGAAATTAAAAATTCATTCACTTAAGAAAAATATATGAACAGCTGAAAAATTAAGAATAACCAAAAGATAAATACAAGATGCTGAAGGTCCAACCCACTTCCAGAAAAATCATCATTTTGATCTTTGCTTTTTGAAATGCTGATTTTGGAAAGTAGCTGCACCCCCCCACCTTCTCCCGGCTTGTAAAATTTATAAACAGTGAGCTTTACCTGCCGCATCTGAAGAATATTAAGGCAATCTTGAAGACAATATACAGTTGAAGTAGACGTGGCTTTGAGAAGTAGTAGGTCCTACAAAAGAAGACATTTTAAATTATAAAATAGAACATTAAAACTAACAGATTTTAACAAATTTCTATTCTACTCACGTTATTGCAGCATTTTAATGTCATCAAAGTGATTAATCAATCCAACCAAAGCCTTTCACAAGCACAACATTAAGAAAAAGCCAATCTTACATTCAGCTCCGTAAAATCAGGTCCAGAGTTTTAGCTATGCTGACAGCCACAGTTATTATAGTTAAACACACAAGATTTCTTCTGCATAACACCTGAACTGTTCCATCCCCACCAGCCTCTTCTACAGGCTGATCAGATATCTGTCATTAACAGCTGTTGCCAGCTTTAAAATATATGGCTTTAAAAACAGCAGAATTGATTATGCCACATAACACTATGTCCAGTAATGAATGAACATTGCTCTAACTCCTGGCTTTATTTATGGTTCAAATCTATAATGAGAAATTAATACCACTAAGTGTCACAAGACTAGCCACAACAAACAGTTGTTGTTTCTTTAAGGTTTGCCTACTGCTAAGATGTTGGCTCTTGTGATGACTTAATATGAATATAATCTAGTATTATTTACTGTCTGGGCAGATAACTATCATCTGGTATTAATATAAAGAATTATAAATGTTATAGTATATGATACATCAATATCAAAAGCCTACTCAAAGATTCAAACTTATTTTGAAAATTAAAGAATCAGAACCTTTACCAAATAAACCTTAACAATGCCATACATGTGGGTATATTCAGTAACTGCTAATACTTTTGGTACAGAGAAGAAAAAAAATACCCAAAATTTGAAAATCATGTTGATTTCACTATTTAAAAGAAACTATAAGCTACATTATTAATGCAAGAAATTAAGCAAATTCAGATTATTCTTCTTTTAAAATCAGTTAAATCTTAACTATTGATTTTAGGACTGCATCTTAACTGTAAAAACATTAATATAAATCTCCCAAGAAATGATGGTGTTGCAATAAATATTGAAATTTTAAAATCAAATCAAGAATTTGTTCTTAAAATATGAACAATAAATCAAGCAATGAGATAAAAAAAAAGCCTATGAATATAAACAAATCAGTTTAAAAAAAAACAAAAGAAAAAAAAAAATCACTCCTATACTCACTGAAGAAAAGATTTAGGGTAAAAATATTTGTTTTCAACACTGTTGCTGATAGTGCCAATCAAAATAAGATCAAACAAGTAAATACCTTTTATTACAGTTACAATTTAATCTTTATAATGTAGCACTAAAAAACATCATATAATGTCTGTTACTTTAAATCAAATTGATCATTCATTCATTCATTCATTCTGAATATTTACAAGCATGATTATGTTCTTCCAATTTGACATGCTTTTATAGTAAATCATAAATTGATCACTTAAAACAAGTGTCAAAGCCAGAGTAACATAATTTAACAAAAACTAAACAATTTGTCTCTCTGTGACTACCTTGTCCAAAAAAGACTTTTTCTATGTGGAAGACAAATACACATACAAACACTGACAGCTGTTTGTTCCCCTAACTTCATGTGGAACCTAAATTTTCCCTAAGGTTTATAACATCTTACAGTTGACTGCTCCATGTCTATTTTCTCAAACCATTCCAAAAATTTTCTTGTACTGATAGCAGCAGTATAAGTTTCATTGATAACTTGTTTAGCTTCAGCTGAACTTTTTCCCCAAAGTGGAAACAATGTTAAATGTGTACTTTAGCCATGATATTCATCAAAATGAAATTAGTTGTTCACAATTCTTCAAGAGGAGGCACACACATGCACATAAACAATACAGAGCTAAATAATCTTTATAGACACTAAGATCTGAGAAAAAAAGAAGCTATATTTTTGTATTAATGTTGCATCAAAATTTTATTTTACAAAACTATCACAATCTGTTAGCTTTAAAATAAGCACTTAAATTTTTAATAGAGCACAATATTTGATAGCATAAAGATGAGGTTTTTAGGCAAACTCCTGTGATCCTACCTATTTTCAGATGCCATCACGACTTGCTTAAAAAAATACCAACCAAACATAAGATGGTCTAATTCATTAAACCATCTTATTAGTTAAGCTGTTGTTACAAACATTTCAATTTTCTTTTAAAACTTTTACAGTTATTCATTCAAAATAATATTTCAGTATTACTCATAGAAAATACATTCCTGACAAACAAAAAAATAGTGTGTGTATCTTTTTTTTTTCATGTTTTATACACAAACTGTCTGAAGTTATTAAGCAAATCAAAAACTCAAGGTTTGAACCAATCTTTGTCAAATTTAAACTAGTCCATTCTCATCCTTGACAAAATCTCTAAATTTTTAGCCACTTTTAACAGCTATTTTTTAGTGCAGACTTTTGACAAAAATTTATTTGGATGGTACAAGTCCTAGTCTCATAATTTCAAAGTGAAGTGTGTATATAGTGATTTTCCAAGAGTAGCTTAGATGTGGCACAAGAACTTAAAATCAATAAGATGATTGAGGAGAAGGCTCACTACATGCTCCAAATATTTGTTATATGTATTCTTTGTTCTATTGTTCATGTTTGTCAGTTGCAAATGATTGTTACCATTTTATTGAAGAAAAAAGGGATTCTCTGACTTTACACAATAACTTCAAACAATAGCCTTTACTTAAAAATTTCACTTGGGCTCTCTGACAACTAAATTGACCATTTAAAATTAGACAAAGTTTTTTCTAAGCAAATCTGAATTTCAGACCAGAAATAGGACAAGAACAGTGCTGGTTCATCAAAGACACTGGAACAATGAATGCAATATTTATGCTCAGAATGTTATCAAAGAGCAATACAGATGCAGAAGGACATGTACCTATATTTTATAGAATATGCAAAGGTGTTCAATAAAGTACACCAAAAAGATCTCTTGGAAATGCTCAGCAACTTTGATGTATTTTAGAAGGATATTAGAATAATCAAAAACCTATACAGCCAGTAAATCACCTGCATACAGATAGAAAATGAATTCAGCATATATACAAAATTAGAAAGGCTGTAAGACAAGGTTGTGTCTTTTCACCAAACTTATTCAACCTATACAGTGAAGTGATTCTCAGAGAATTAGAAGTCCTGCCAGGATTCATTATTGGCAGCCACAATCTTAGCAACATAAGATATGCAGATGACACAGTGTTGATATCAGACACAGAAAGGTAACTACAGGGTGTGACGTCACCTCGGCCTCTCTGCCCCCGTGCTATCCTGTGACGACCAATGTGACTTGGTATTGGTCGCAGCGCCAAATGTGACGTTCTAACCCTTGGCTGATTTGGATTGGAATCTGGCTAGATTCGGTATCAGCTCGCCCCCAACGTCTGGTTACCGAAGTAACTGCTTTGATTTCTAGTCTAACCTACTCACGTTGTGATTTGATCTTAAGTAGACGAAATCAATCAGTCGCCGGGCCGCAATGCAAGCCGAATTCGAGCAAAGGTGACATTGCACAAGTATATGTAGAAGAAAATAAAGTAACAACCCGAAAGGTTCAAATGTGTTAAGAAAAGAATAACAAATATTTTTATATCTGGTTGCTGAATACAGGACTGCACTTTCTCCCAAACCACTTCTATGGATACGTGACACTTTGTGTTTGTTAGGTGAGTCTTAATATCTTAAGTTGTTTTTTTAATAACTGGTTTTTTGGTATCTTCAGGCGATATTCGTAAAACTTGTTTTGGTGGTGTGAGTCTAAGTCGTTCTTCAAAAATAAATTGTTTTTGGTTAGAAGTCTGAGTCGGAATGCGTGGGATCTTTCAGTCTCCGAGCTCACAGCTCAACTCTGTCTGCTCTGTCACTCTACTGTCCGCGTCTGCCCTGCCCAACTGCCACTGTCTACTCCGTTTATATGGATGCCGACCAAAACCCGGTGTGGGCCTGTCGTGGTTTGGGTTCCTCGATAATTCCAAATCCACAATAAGGATTTTCTTTGTTTTCGAACAGGAAAATTTATCTCTTTCCATTTTTGGAAGTCCACTACTTTCTGCTTTCTTAAGGGAATCATCCTCCCAAATTCTTCCTTTCTCATATTGGTATCTCACACCAATCCCCTCAGGGGGCGTCAACAGGTTTTCCTTCTTTCTCATAGTGGTATCTCACACCAATCCCCTCAGAGGCGCCAACAGGCCTCCCCTCCTTCTCATATGTTTACCTTCGCCCACCGCTCATGACACCACTCAGCCAATGACGCCCGGCAGCGTGGGTGTGGCTAGCCTGGCCTCAGTTTACAATTATCGCTCAAAGAAAAAAAATTACCTTCTTTTTTCTTTTCTTTCTTTTCCTCAACCAGCCCCTTACGACTCGTAGTGTGGTCCTTAATCTCTATCTTAACCGAATGTCATCTGGAATTTATCAACGAGATTTTCATCAAATGATTATCCACAGAACCGCCATATATCCTTAACGCCTTCGTACTTCTGTCGCCACAAGTCTGTTCAGGTAACAAACTTTTATCATGTCCAGGTCTGGACATAAAACAGGTGTCTTTTCCCAAAACCAAATGATATCTCCAAAAGATAGTTAATGGTTTATTCTTTCCCTTTTTCTCTTTGGGGTGGTATCAGCTGAGGCCTTTCTTGGTCGGTGCTTGACCTAAATCTGATTATCTTTTAGCATTGTTTTGTAGGCCACTTGACCAATTTGAAATTTTTATTATTGCCATGGGCAGATTGCTATCTTTAATTCGCTGCGTCATAGCATAAATTAATTTCGACAGATCCACTTTTCTTTGTTAAAAAAAATAACATCGCTCAGTATGTCTTTCGTGATAGCTTCTTCTCGCTTTTAATTTTCATGCAACCGCTAAATAGTGTCACAAGGGTCTCCCACAGAAGGTATTGAAGGAAAGCAAGAAGAAAAGATTAAACATGAACTGCAAAAAAGCAGAATGTATGGTTATTAGCAAAAGGAAGAACCCAAAAGGCAAATTAAAAATTGGAGATACTAAAATCAAAAAAGTACAAAAATTTAAATATCTGGGAAGTGTTTTAACAGCAGATGGAAAGTGTGATACTGAAATCTGAAATTGCATAGGGATAGCCAAAGATGCATTCCAAAAGCTAAGCAGAGTATTAAGAAACAGAAAATCTTTGTTAGAAACAAAGAAAAGAGTAGTGAACTGTTATGTAATATCTGTCCTCCTCCTGAATGTGGAACAATCTACTCAAAGATGAGAAGACTTTTAGAGAAAATGGGAACAAAAAAGTAACTTAAACTTAAAATTAGCAGACAGTTGAAATTTCTAGGGCAAATAATGAGAAAAGAGGACTTGTAAAATCTGATACTCACATGACATACTGAAAGCAAGAGGGACAGAGGAAAACAACGCATAATATACTTAGTGAACTTAAGTAAATGGATGGCAGAACAGGGTTTAGGAGAAATAACTAAAATAAAAAGATTTATTAAGAGCTGCAAAGGACAGGAAATTGTGGAGAGCCATAGTCGCCTACGAGAAGACATGGCACAAAGAAAAAAGAAATTTATGTGATTTGCATAATGACTTCAGACAGGTTGTATGCTAAAAGCCATTCAAATTTTTTCAAATATAAATAAGTTAATAGTAATTTTTTGTAAGTTGTAACAAAATTAAGTACATTTTCTTATTACTGTACTGTAACTTTCTATTGTTAATTTCCTGTAGATAAGCAACTGGCATATTTGCCACCCAAAAAAGATCCTAGAAAATGAAAATTTTCAGATTGTGATAAGTCTCTGAATATGAAAATCCAATTGAGAATAAACTGAAATGCTATGTCTTGTTTAACAAATTAACTAATCAAACACCAAATATTTTTCATAGAGTAAAAAAAAACTATCCCTTTAAAACTGATATGAATAACATTTCAATTATAAAAAAGTTGTTATTTCTTTATCATACAAAATTATTATCTGAAAATACAATGTACACATATGAAGTTCCAACAAAATCAAATAAAGTTCAACACATAAACAATGAATAAATGAAGAACATAAGTATCACCTACCTTATCAATTCCATTGATATACTGACCAGATTGGGGAAGTTCCTGTCATGTAAAAAAAATAAATTAAAGCAACCCAAAATTTTAAAGTCAAAATAATGTCTCAGTTAATTTCTTTGGTACATTGTATTCATACAAAACAAACAATTCTAAAGTTCTTTTTTAGTTTGGAAAAAGCAATAATTATGTGTTCACAAACTTTCAGACTCTTAGATACTGAATTAAAAAAAACTAAAATATTATAATAGGGTAGAATCAATTTTGTATGGTATATCATCAATGGCCTTTTTAGATTCAGATTTTAGATTTAATCCCAATAAAGATATCAGTTCAAAAGTTTTAGAATATCCAAAAGACAGATGATACTTTTCTGAAGTAAACAACATATGATGATGCTTATTTCCTTTGGCCAATTTATCATTATTAAAGAGCAAAGACTTAATACAAGTACAAACAAGATCTCCTTATGCTAAGATCATAACCAAGATCAATGAATCTAGAACATTTACTTCTGAAAGCAGAACAAGATTTGCATATTGAATCAAATTGTCCTCCTTTTCATTTAGTGATAATATTTAAGATAGCAATTATCATAAAGACATGCAAATTGCTTCATATACTTTTTATATATTTCTAATGTAATATACAAATGAACAAATAATTACAAAATTGATGTTCTTTCATAAACTTCAAATAACACCTACTGCTACACATTGTTGTCAAACAAGTTAATGTATTAAGTGATTACTTCAGCACAAGCAGCAGTTTCCATTAGCATTAAAATATACATTCGCTTATTTTGAAAATTCATGAGTAGCTTTCTTCCTCTTGTAAACTTTTTATCATAGCTCCAGGCTCTATCCAACAGTGTTATTCTACTTTGTTGTTTTTGTGAAAATAAATAGGAGGAATTACTTACAGATCATTCTCTCATACATTGTAATAAACATGTGTCAAGTAAAGATGAAAAAAAGTACTAAGAGACTTCTAAAATTCACTAGATTGAATATATTCGATAACTGAAAAATAATTAATTTTTTCTTTCAATTTTATATTAATCTTATTGAACAAAATATTTACTACTTTGTTCCATGGTCTTCTGCCAACTTCCAGGCAGATCTATAATTCCATGATCCCAGAACTTATCTTTCTCATCAAAGAACTTTTTCACATACATTTTGTAGTCTTCTAAGGAACAGAATATTTTTTGTATTAAGCAAGTATAATAAAAACTGGAATTAATGGTAATCTAAAAATGCAAAATCTGTTGAATACAGTGAAATAGTGATAAAAACTTTCCAGCCAAGTCGTAGCAATGCCTTTTCTCTTAATTTTGGATACTTTTCATTGATCGTTGCCTTTAGCTTGTCTAAATGAGAACAGTATTTGTTTAAAATCAATCATTCGGTTCTGTGGAAGAAGCTTATAGTTGGAGAATATTTTCCAATCCCACCATATAGCATCCTTTCTTTGGGTGAAAATCTGCCTTTGGAATAGTTAGTGGTATTAGATTTTGCTTCTCTTACAATATCTTGTATTTTATGCTATTCAAGTATATCTACTTTGCATCACCCGTCATAATTTAAAAACATTTTCCTTATATTTAAATGACATTGCAGTGGAAACCACACATCAAAGCAACTAACATAACCAAGCTGTTTAAAATAATTTTCAGTGCTTCATTTGGATATTTTGAGAATGTTGGCTATCTTCTGTGTCATACATTCTCAAGTAATATCTTGACTGCCATCAACTTCAATTAGTCTAGAAAATATTTTACAGTGAGAATTTTCCACTTAACATGTGTGATTATTCACAGTATCATTTTAATAAACTATACAAGTTTGTTTCTTTTTTTTTTTTTAAAGTTATCTTCAACTTACATAACAAAAAATGCCTAAGATGCCAAAAGATTTTTCCATTTTCAATGTTAGAATCAAAAAAAAAAAAAAAATCCCATTTTTGATAATTTAAAAATTAGAATCCAACTGCCACAATCAAAATCTATCTTAACGACAGAAGGTAGTTAAAACTAAATTATCCTATTGTTATCTAATGATAAAAAGTGATTGATCTTTTTGGCTAACCTAATACACCTGAAGGAAGTTTAATGAATATATAAAAATAGCCATCGGAAAAACAAGAAACAATACAAATAATTTCATTTAAGTTCAAACAAAACATTCAAAGACATTCACAACTCATTCCAATTCAGTACAAGATACAAATTGGTTCTTTTTGTTTTAAAGCAAAAACTTCCAAATTAACTTAAAAATATGAATTATTAAGACAAGAACCACACCAGACCACTAAGAAATTCACTCAGAAAATGACAAGCTCTCATGTTACTGTCACTCATCATCTTCACTCAATGGATAAGGTCCAGAAACATGGTGCATGGGTGCCACACACATTGACCAAGAGAAACAAACTACAATGTTCATCCATTGTCATCAGTTTACTCACTTGACATCAGGCTACTTGTAGATACAAAGAAAGAGCTTTTTTGGGAAGTTTTACCACACCCACCATATTTTCCTGATTTAGCCCCTTCAGACTACCACCTTTTGAAGTGGCTTCCTAGAAATTTGAGAAGTATTTTGTTCAACAATTTCATTATTACCAAAGGAGGTGAATGCAAAAACACAAATGTTAAAGTCCTGGGAAAGTTTAAGATTTCAGATAGTTTCAGATGATTGGAGCAAGTGAACAGCAATCAACAGGGAATGACTATGCAAAGACAAATACTGAAATTGGAATAATACTAAGCCCCAAATGTAACTACATAAAGGAGAATTATAATTGTATTCTCAAACTTTCAAGGTGATAATTGATACACTTGACTCTACAATTATATGATTGAGCATTAAATTTCCAAACATCTTATATTTGAGCACATGGTACAAAGAAAATATGTCCTAAAGTTCGAAAAAGTATTATCATAATTTCATGAATTATTCAAACTAGTATCCTTATCTTTTTTGTTTGATCACCACATTTCAACCCAGCCAGCCTTAGATACATATTACATCCAGGTGATTTGAACAGAATTCTTTTTGGTTAATACTCTCACTTTTGCCAACAATGTTTCAAATAATTTGCAGATTCAAGCAACAAAATGGTATTATTCACATGCCATAGTTATAGCTCACAATACTTAAGTCTGTTTAGGAACTCCTCCTCCTAGTTCATGGTTTAAAAAAAAAAAAAAAAAAAAACTTGTTTGTGAGTACAACTGCTAATTTTTATTGAGATTAGTAAAAAAACAAAAAAAAGCTTCAAAAACTATTGACCTTGAAGCATTTTGGGCATCCCTGAATATTACAATAGTAGGAAGTGCTCAAACACATGGGACCAGCATCAAAATGAGCAAACAGTAAATATCGAATGAGAATGATAGAATCCCTGTTAAAAGTACAAAAAAAAAAAAAAAACAAACTCATGTGATAACTATTATAGAACTCAGCATAATTGGGAGATGTCAAACTAAAATCTCAGAAATAGAGAGAGCAGTGGCAGCTGCTGACACCAGAAAGATGTTCAGATTTGGCAAAAACTGGAATCAGTAAGGTGATCAGTAAAAATAATGAGCTCATCATTTTTAACAGCAATTTGGGTATGATGTACTCACTATACAAGTCCCTCCTAGTGACCACAGATGAGATTCAAAAAATGTGTTTAATGAATTTAATTGATATGTTCCACCCTTTGTGGCCAAGTTTGCAGATGAATATGCTAGCCATATAAGGGACCTAGAATTTTCAGTTTTTTTAAAAAAATATCATTTCACCCCAAGCAAGGCATTAATGCCACTAAGATGCAAGGGGATTACTAGGGGTGGAAGAGAATAAGGCTTTAACAAGGAGAAAGGACAATAAAAGAACAAGATTCAGAAAGATAGAAAATGGCAATTGACATTGCATTTAAATTTCCTAAGATTGTAGGTGGCAGGGAAGCAAGAAACAGGAAGAGAATTCCACAGGTGAGAAGTTCAAGAAAAGAAATTATTAGAATAGAACATGTGATTACATCTTTTTCTATTTCAACAGTAAAATGATGAGACCTAGTTGCCAATTTAAGTAGTACACTTAAATTCACGTGGTTGAGGTACCAAGGAGGAGAGCTCATTATAACAACTGCCATGAAAATATTTATAGAAAAATCAGAGGAAAGTCATGTCACAGCAGTGGGAAAGTCACTGACATTACACTTTTTGTTGCAGATGCTTTAAGTCTACACCAATTGTGTAGTGCCCTTTGGATTGTCATAGCTTCTCACAAAATTCTCCTGCAAGACAGGAATAGCACATAACCAATACTGACCCAGGTTGGAATACTGTTCAAAAATGTACAAAGCTTCAAGTACCTAATTTTAACATTTTAAAAAAGAAAAAGAATAATTATTTTCTTTTTTTTTTTTTTTTTGCTAAGACTTTAAGATCCCCATGTGTTTACAGAAAAATGATGGTACTTACACCTATTTTATCTTTTAAGTTGTTGGAGTATTCACTAGCCTGGAATAAGTACTCCTTAACTTCTTTGAATGGATCCACAGTAACTGTTTGAGCCACAGGAACTTTATATTGTGATCTAGGGAGAGAGAGAGAAAAAAAAAAAGAACAATTTCAATAATATACAGATATTTTTAATTAATCTATTTTTCAGAGCTGCATATATAAACATTTCCTTATCTAACATCACCAGTAGAACAATTAATTTAAAAACAGTAAAACATTAGCAGAATAAAACAGACAAACCATGTGTTGAACTGAAAAATAAAATCCTGTATACTAACCTCATTGTTACTATGGTTGGTAATGATTCTGTAGAATTAGTAAGTCTCCTGTTGTTGGCTGATAAATCCCCAGAAGACTTCCTTATTGATGGCACATGGTCATTGCTGATAGCTGAAGATATAAGTTCGGCATGCCTTGTTTGTACGGCAGGTGCATTCTGTGATGGACAACATAAACATCCACATAACATTCAGAAAAACAGAGATTGGAAAAAAAAAGAATAAGTTTCTTAAATTCTGACTTTATATTTCAAGCGTTTTTACATTGAAACCATCATCAAGTATGAAGCTAAAACACTGTCACCTGCTACAACACATGTACAGCCTCTCCAAGCTTCTAAGCATCCAAATATATATATATATATGTATACAGAATTAAACTGTTGTTTCAATGTCTAGGTAATTTGTGCACATGTTATTAAGGCTATATCAGCCAATGCTTTGGAATCTATTTTACACATATCAATGATAATATCTTAGAACTGAGAGGATTAACCCAGACAGGTGTTATTGACCAGATTAAGCTAATCTGAAGATTGGTACTGAATTGAAGGCATGTATTTCACCATACAAGAAAAAAAAATTGAGTGGTTCAAGCCAGATAAATTTAGATATTTATACACTTTGGAATTAAAACTTCACATGTAAAAGAACTGATTTTGATGCAGACAGTCAATCACCAGTGACAACCAACCCCACAAAAATGGAGAGGTGTGTGTGTGTGTGTAGGGAGGGAGGGAGGGGGAGAGCTTTAAAAACAAAAATAACAGTACTAACATTTTAACTAAATAAGCTATGTCATCTACTTCCCCACTCACACCAGATTAATATAACTATGATAAACTGAGCCAGTTGACCAGCCGAGAGATTAAAATGTCATTTACTTGAGATAATCTACAACAACAGCAGCAGAGTGAGCAGGATGTGCACTGAAGTTTATTGAAACGGAAACTATCATCAGTGACGTTGCATCTAAACCTGTTGAATCAGGTTTCCTTTTGGGAGTCATTTAAGCAGACTTTTCTTTATTTTCAATGAAAGCCTAATTAAACTCAAGTATCATTGTGCTTTCTAATCTTCCACTAATTGATTATGCTTTCTATAGTCTTGTAAATAAGCAGAGCTGTATTTTGAGAAAATTTAAAATTGCTGGTCAATTTTTAAAATTATACATGCAGATCAAATTCATTTTCTTTCATTAAAATCAGTTTTTCTTTTTGTTAAAAATTAATCATTTAATTTTTTTTACTTTAGGTTTTGAAATTAACTAAACAATTTAAAAATAAATGGTGGGTTTTTTACAAAGAGGTGGATATGATCAAAGCTGACTTTGTAGACGACTTTATAATCAGCCTTAAATTTTATTCTTTCAATGAATTTATGCAGGCAGTATTGTGGATAATATATTTCAAACAAATGAAAAGCATTTGATTTGTAAAAAATACATAATGTCTGTTAAAATAAAATTAAATACATGAAGCATAGCTGCTTCTCAATTGTTTTAGATGCAGTTTATAAATTTCTATCTGAATTTTCTGGAATGAAGCGTTATTTACATAAGAACTATTGTCCTTATTCTAGTGTTCGACCAAAACATTCTGATAAAACAAAAAACAAGGACAATAGTCTGCATGTATATAATGTTAAGTATTTTATAAAGTTCAGTAATCAAACTTTTAAGAATTTCAATACTTTGCTCCATATTATAACTGAATACTTTTATACAAAGATTTCTGAGCTAAGTTTCCTGCTAAGTGCCTAACAGAATATTTTTAATAATATCATTTTGAAACTTATATAGTATATTTTGTGAATTCATTTGCAGATATCAATTAAATAAAAGTGATTTTTTAATATTGCATCTATATGTTAATGAACAGTAATTTTTTCTGTGTGTTCCTGTTTGTTGCTTTTGTCATGCTAAAGTAAATAAAAATAAAATAAATCCTGATGTAGAAGTAAGCAGGTAAGTAAAATATCAATTGTTGTTTGAACATCACAGTAAAATTAACTTACAAAGTTAAGAGCACACAAATACACTGATCCTCAACAAAGGACCTGGGAATGACATTGATTCTGAGCAAACCACACAGATATTCTGAGCTTAGGAAAAAGTGCTGATACAAATGTAAATAATTGACTTTTGTTTTTTTTTTATTACATCTAACTATTCAAATAATTTTCTAACAGAACAAAATTTAGTCACAAGAATGAAAATTTTCAGCTGTTCCTTAATTTTCAACTTCTTTAATTCTATGAGTCTGAAAATCTGATATTCTACATTCAATTTAAAATAGTAAAAAAATCTCTGTGAAAGGCTGAACAAGGTTAGAGTTCAGTATTTTTAGTTTTCACTACTAGAAAATCTTCAAATGAAAAAAAAAAATAAATAAATAAATAAAATTTTATTTTAATAATTTCTGTTAGCAACTTTGTTAAAACACAACCAATTCTTTTTATCTACAAAAAAGTCTCACTTGAGCTAAGTTGGCGGTGTGGTACTCGGCTGTAGCTCGTAACTTATCTACCCAGTGTTGACGTCCACGTGCATCTGCAGCTGCATAAAGAAAAATCGCATCAAATAGTCATTGAAGAGATCAAGATATAAATGATGAGCAATGTTACCCAAGAAATAATTCCATCTTTGTTTTTATACAAGGTGAAAATTTTTTTTTTTGATCTAGTAAAATGTAGTGTTATCTTAATCAATAACAGTATTTTCAATTTTGGAAGCCAAAAATTAAATCTTATTTGGCAGTTTCATACTAGAGTTAGCAAATTATTTTCATGCAAATAACAATTCTCAAACTTTATGAATTTAAGACAAAATGTTTTCTTGCTGGCATCTTCTGACAACATAACAATTACAGGAGGTATTTAATGATAGATCAGATTTAACAAATTTACCAGCTGGTTGCTATGTAAATTTCTCTTTTCAACAAGATCATGCATAATAAAATAAATCTACATACAATGTCAAGGCATAATTTTTTCATTAAACTTGTTTATCGCTAATAAAAAAAAAATCAATAAACTGAAAACAATTGTTTTTAGTGGATAATTACAAAATGAGGGACTGTATGACATTAGGAGTAATTTATTTTAAAATCTTAGTCACAAATGAACACATTGTAGCTTTAAAATTTTCTTGTATCATGTGAGGCATATAACACCATTTCATGAACAGGTAAAAGGAAAAAAAATTACATTCTTTTATTTGCGTAATTGCAAACTCAATTTTTAACTTAACCTTATAGTAAAGAGAATGAAGGAAAAGAAATTTTTAGATTTTAAATTTACCTCTCAATCGATACAATTCTCCATTAGCAGCATGTACAGTGAATGTTTGAGAGTCTTCATCAGAGGGACTAATGACTGCACCCTGTCCAATCACCAAAAATAAATTAAAAGAATCAAACGATTATAGCCAAATAGCATTTTTTAGGTAATCTAATACCTGTTAAGGGTTTCCGAAGAAGATAACAGTGCTTTTGGGCAGATATAAAACCACCAGAACATTTTTACAATTTCTATATTTTATATAAACTGTTAAACTTATTTTTATATAAATGTTTATATTTTCTTCTCTTTTAAATGTGCTTTAACATATGGCTGAACATGGCTCTCCATAGATTATTTTATTTAATATCTGTAAATTGCCATGACTTCTGGTTTCTACCTAAGATTAGAAAGGCCAGTCTATCCTGCTATTTAAACATAGCAATGAGGTGGAGAAGAAATAGACTCATGCTTTTCCAAAAGGCATTTATACAAATATGATGTTTACATTAAGAGATTTGTAAACATAAGCCAAAGCATTGAGATTTGAATTTTTATAAATAACTTATCTGGACTTTAAATAACTCATAAGTTTTGTTCAGTGTTGTAAAGACAGTATTATCATCATTGGGCATTTCATTCTTCCAAGATGATATTAATATCAAGACAATATTTATACAATCCACCTAAAAAAAAGCAAGCAATATTGTAATCTGCCAACATAAGCATTACATTTCCTGTAAAAAAAATAAATTAATATAGCTGTGTCAATTTCATAGGATTTAGGGAAAGAAAAAAAAAAGTGTGCTTGCATTTAACAGTGTTTAACCTATTTTTAACAGAATATTTAACAGAAAATAATTAAGCTTTGAATGTCACTTTTCTTGGCTTTTGTAAGCTTGATAAGTGAACAATATCACTCCATAAATAATAACCAATTTGCAATATCAGTGCTGATACAGTAAAATACTTTTGTTATTGTTTTTAACAAACTTTATTTTGATTCCATTTACAAGACAATATAGGTTTCTTAAAATGATTTCTTTTTTAAATATTTCAAATGAAAGATTATAGAAATCAAATATCAATAGAAAAGGAATATTTAAAGTAAATTCACTAGAGAACAAAAAAAAATGAACAATAAAAAAGATCATTAAAAAGACAATGTACTAACAGCTAAATGTAAGGCACCCCTTGGCCTCTGTTTCTTGTGTTCTTCTTTCTGAAAAATTTGGGAAAATATATACATTTAAGAGAACAGGAAAATAAAAGGAATATGTAAATTTGTTTAAATTATTAAAAATATTATAGATTTTATAGAAGTGAAGATTATTGCAACTTCAATGTAACTCTCCCTACTTGAGAGAATACTTGTCTGAAATTGAAATCCCTTAGACTTATTTTGACATGATATTAATTAGTAAATGTATGTAAAGTTTCATATAGTATGATATAAAGAATGGTATGTCAATGGTTGCATTTTAAAATACTTGAAACATTTGCAATTTCTACTTTTGACAGCAAGATTTTTTTAATACTTTAATTACAAACTGTTTTGTTTCCAGCTACAGTAAAACATAAGATTCATTAATTATAATGTAAATAGTCTTAGTGTTAAGAGAGGAGAGTAAATTAAACAAAAATAATTATAATATACAATTCATTTTATTTCATATTGTATTTTAAAGAAACTCAAAATTCAGGTTTCAACAAATGAAAACTTGGCTGTGGTATTTGAGGATTAATGCAACATATAAAAACTCATTTTAAAAATCAGAGTAGAATATATGCGTAAACTATATGAAAGCAACAATATAGAAAAGGACAAGTGTATTCTTACCTCAAAGTATTCTAATGATCCTGAGTCAGGATCAAGGGAGAACCATCGGTATTGCCAACCTTTCATCACATTTGTATATTTACAGAGCTGACCCTCCATAGGTTGCCTGTACAAAAAGTTTATTTTGAAATAGGATGATTAGTCAAAGGAATTCAAATCATTTTGTACCCTAGTTTGGATAATTAACTCTGAAAAGTTAAATCTTTCTAAAATGCATAATTTTTGAGTTCACTTCTGAAAATAAATATGCATTTGTTGTTTGTATGAAATTTAAGTTGTTAAAGCAGTGAAGGATTTTTTTAAATCCCAGAATTAAGATTAATTTGGAGGTACATTCTCTTAAATATTTCACTTATTTAATGTATGTAATTAATTTTCAAACTTGAAGAACTGAGGCGGTGAGGGTTGAGGGAATGCACACACATGACCTCATTCCTACAGCTTGTGTGTTCGATGACATTACATTAAAAAAATTAATTTAAAAACTACTTTTTGATATTCATTGAAGATTGATCTTATCTTTCAGGTAAAATTATAATATGAAACAGTCAGATGTCAGAGCTATTTATAGGCAAAGGATGGAACAGATCCACAATAAAATGGTTGTTGTGTAAATGCAGGTTCCGATTAGAGAAATACATTAATAAAAAAAAAACATCTTTTTAAAAAATTCTGATATTTAATGAAAAGCTTAGTAAATTAGCATTTTATCCTGTAAAAAAGTAATAGCATTTAAGGAACATGCATTATATATATATATATATATATATATATATATATATATATATATTAGTGATATAATATAAGAGAGATTTTCTCTGGTCCCAAATTAGAGCCTGTGTTAATATATATAAATAGACCAAACCCGGATATAAGAGACTTCTTCTCCGGTCCCGACAACTCTTATATCCGGGTTACACTATATATATATATTATATATATATATATATATATATATATATATATATTGTGTCACGTAGCCACGATTTCATTAACCATATAGGCGTTAGGCTAAAGTAAAATCTTAAATAAAGAGAAAACTAGTTAGATATAAAAGAAAGATAAATAAATAAATAAAAACAGAAATTTAATCCAATGCTTCTGACTCGCGAGTGAATATATTCTATGATCAGCCATACACCCCCTCTTCTCTTCACAAATTCTTTCTCTCCTTATCCTCTCTTCCACCCACAAGCCAAGGGCCCGTGAACTTCGAAGTGACCCAACGCGAGAATGACCTGGATCCAAGATTTCGCGTTTGACCATGAGTGAATTCCAGGCACCATCAGGGTCTCCTGCTGCGATTCACGTGACCGGGACGTACGGAGCATGTGTTGAACTTTTGGCCATCACACAAGCACTGCGTGATTTTTGCGCCTATCCTCCTCCGCGCACCGGTCAAGGACGAAGGGAACCCACGTGACTGTCTTTGGGGACAGCGAAAACCAAAAAGGATTTTTCAGTTTCCCTCTGACCAGCGGCAGTTGAACGTCGCTGGGCAAAAATCGTCAGACCGCCCACTGAGATGAGGAAGACAGCAAAGTCTGTCGACTAGTGAGTGGTGGAAGGACTGCTAGGGAACTGGTCGACCCAACCAAATGCCTGTATGAAATGCTGGGGACCCTCGAACACTTGCGAAAAGAAGAAGAATCCAGGAGCATTGTCGGCCGGCCAAGATACTGTTTTATCATCAGAACTCTTGCTTCGGTGAATCAAAACTTTATGTGAAGATACCAACCCGACTGCAAGAGAAGTTGGTTCGTTTGGCTTGATCTGTTTTCATATATGTATGTATTCGCTCGCGCCTTCTATTCTTTAATGATGTCCTCCCCCTTTGTTAAATGAATGTTCTTTTTTTTCTTTCTTTACTCCGTTATATATATTTATAAATAAATGTTTTATTTTGAAATCCATCGTCTTGTGTCTGTTCTTTGTTGATTCCCTTGTGCCGCTTCCATTTCTGAGTGAAGACCGAGAAAAGAAACCACGTTTTCCTTTTTTTTTTTAGAACCCATGGTTCATCTATATGCTACAAGTTCGTAACAATATAAAAATCAGTATCTCTAATTATTGAAATTTCCAGAATCAAGCAGTTATGCTGCAAGTCTAATTTCAAAATAAAAGAAAAAAAAAATTCTTTATTAAATTGTGTGTGTATATATATATGAACGGTTTCATTAATAATGACAGAATCTCTAGATTATGCATTTTTCTGAAAATGGTTGCATTCATGTACATTTAAAATGCCAATAAATTTTAAACAAAATCTAAGTTTCACATTCAATGTAAAATTTTATTCCTTAATTTAAAAAAGAAAACAACCAAAAAAAGAAAACTTTCCCACTTGTGGTCAATTATTTAAACTGACCTAATCCTAACAAATACTGACATTAAAATAAAATCCCTAATAAAAAGATTACTTGTATTTAATTATATAATTAACCTGGTTATCTTGGTTTAAAGGTGTTTTTCATTTTGATAGAAAAAACATCAGTAATTTTCAGATGGTAGGGAGGTGACATCTTTAACCTTCATTTGAAGATTTATTCATCAGTAAGTAAAAAAAAAAATGTGAATTATGGTGCACAGCATATGATAAAATATAGACATTCATTGTTGACCAGCTCTCTGCATCAACTACTATGAATTTTCTATGACAGGGTATATGTATTTTGAAGAAGATAATTGTAGTTTTATATGAATTTTATGATTTATTGGTTCTTATGTAGGTACCTCCACTTTTTCGGCATAAATTTTTCATACCTTTGGTTTAGGATAAATTTTTAAAAATGAAATAGCTTTAATTGAAAGCTAACGGATTAAATTATTATTTCAGTAAGTAAAATATTCGGGTGTTTTTCAAATAGAAATTATATAGATTGGAATGTCAAATTTAATTTTGATTTATTAAAATTTTCTTAAAAGTAGCCATTTTCTTAATTTTAAAAAATTTGCAAAAACAAATTTATTGATTTTAAAATTCGTCCAAAATTTCTGACACATTAAGTAAAATTAGAAAATTCAAAGTTAAATTAATCTGATTTGAAATAAATATTACTTATAGCATAAAAAAGTAATATACATCCATTTTTTATTGGTCGGCCCTGTTTGTCTGAAGCAATGATTTATGAACAATTGAGTGAGGAAGTGATGACAGTATGGCTGACTAGAATTGACATAAAATTTACAAAATCTAACTGAACGCATTTTTTTGGTTTTTAACTACCTAGCAATTTTTACAAATGAACATATTTTCCACAATTATCTAATAATTTGACTTATTTACTTTTCGAAGATGCTTTATGCAAAAATTTAAAATACTATAAAATTTTCTTAAATTAATTTCTCTGTAAAGAGAGAAAACTCTTAGATCATGTGACCTTTTCATAATAATGTTGCGTTTAGCCTTTCATAGATGAAAAGGGGAACAAATTAAGTAAAAAAATAAAAAATTATTTAAAAATAGAATAGTGTAACTAAGTTTATTAAACTTTTCGATCTTGGATTCATAAATTTACTTTCCACTTAATTGTTATATCACATCCAGGAAATAGCCCAATACAGAATTTTACACAATTTTAAACAATTATAAATTATTATAATTAAAATTTTTAAGAAATGAAAAAAATTCTTGTAAAAATTCATTATTCATCAGAAAAATTTGATTTCTTCACACAATAATGTTCTTAATATAACTTATTTACAAAAGCAATTAAACACTTTTCTAATTAAATAATGTCATAGCTTTATTGCATTCATTATTTTTCAATTCAGAGCAGATTTTCAGTGAGAATAGTGCAAGTTTTTTTTTTTTTTTTTTTTTGGGATTAGGTGATTTACATTCTCCAAGGATTCCTACTCTTAAATATAAAAAAAAAAAAAAAAAAAAACACTCAGGAAATAGAAACGTTTTTTGTGAAATTTCATGAAGTTAAGTAAGTGGGAGGTAACATATGTATAAAAAAAAAAAAAAATATTCAAAGATAATTTCATTCATTTGTGATTAAGTCCTTGGAATTTCATTAAAATTGGTCAATTATTTGATTTTTACAAGAATTTCCAAATCAATGTGTTTTCAACGGAAAAAAAAAGTGCAAAAAAATCAAAGTAATTATTATGCCACCCCGATGACTTAAACAAAAGAAGATTTGAACCAAAATTTTGTACGTGTTAAAAAGGATTTCATCTTAATAATATCAAACATTTTAACAAAACTTTATTACATTTGTGGTCTTTTTCGTTATGCTATGCCATTTTCCACCAAAAAGTGGAGGTACCTATTCTTATGTAATATGAAGCATTTTTTTATGATGATAAATATATAGCTAATATGTTTTCATCAATCAAAACAGATGAATGTAATCCTAATCTACTTGAGATGAATTTAAGAAAAATAAATATTGCTAAATGCAAAAGGACTTTAACAGATCACTTATAACTCAAATATTGATATTAGAGAAAAGATGGTTTCAAATTTTACATTCAACTCAAAATAATGCAAATAAATTTTTGATAAAAAAAGAAGAAACATACTAGCAGCCAAAAGACAAGTGTTTTTAAATCTGAAAACTATGAAAGCAAATTTTAACCTAGATCAGTGTTTTTATAGACTTGTCATTCAAACAAAAAAGTAAATAAAAAATTAACAAATGAATGTAAACATTTGAAAGGAGAATTGGCACATTAAATTTTTATATTTGTCACATCAATTTATATTGACAAATATTTTTAAGGAAAGGTCTCTTATCATCAGTTCCCATAATGCAAACTTAAAGACTTTTCTTTCCAGAATCTGCATAATTATAACATTTCTACCTTCATTGAAAAATTTCATTACTTCAATATTACAAATAGAAAAAACAGAATAAATTTCTTCAATCAGTGTATTCCACCATTAACTGATAGTGCTTCTACCCTACAAAAGTACTTTGCACCAAACAGCTTGATAAATTTGCTAAATAAATGTGATTATTATGTACTTCTAAAATAGCTAAACTCTGGAGAAATGTCTTAAAAGCTTTGCATGTATCTAGCTTCTCCAAGAAGAGTGCTTTTTAAGAATAAGAAACTTGATATTGTATATATTTCTTAACAAGTACATGACAA